TAATCGACCAAAATATCTCATTTTATTGCATCATTTGTCGCGTGACTCCTTGCGCGACGCATCGAATAGGTTACTCGACATTCTAGAGATAAAATAATCTTTTTGTATGAAATCCAAGATCGCGAGGCAAATTTCACAATAAAATGGCATGTTTTAATTGGTCAATTCGGATAACGCGACGCGTGACGCGCTCAGTGGGAACGCACCTTAAAAATCAGTTTAATATTCTAATAAGTTTAGTGTTCTAACTTGAGAAAGGAAGGATTGAAGCTTCTAGAAGGGATCCATAAAGTAACAGCAAGAAGACCTAACTGAGTAGATTAGAAGTGGTCACGAAAAATGTTCCGCGTACTGCCAGATTCGTCGAATGAAATGACATGCAACATTTCGTCGCCATATTGAATATTCGTATATGTACAGTGTGTCATATTTAATTGTGTATATTAAGTGTAGAAATGTCTCACTTCTTAAGGCCATTATATGTACAAAAATTTTAGTCGTAATCATAAGGCCGTAAGCAAATTGATCAATGATCAATCACGATGATACGTATATATTTCTTACGAACTCGACGCGGGATAATAGGTACTGTTATTACTTGGCGTGAGACGCTACCACGTCTCCTGATTGCAGTTGAGTTGCGGCGATGCAATGCTTTTACCCTAATTTCTTGTGCATCACGAGCGTCATTGCGTCTGTATTTTGTTTCAAAATCGGACAATTGTGACACTCTGCAATGATGTAAGCTCATCGTTTCTCTGATAATTTTGTATTGTTTATTAAATAGTTGTCACACATCAGCATTAGTGGTTATCAACATTTAACGCGTATACAGCATTAATATCGATTGTCGAATTCTGCCGGAAAAATGGATTATTATTGTACCGAGAGATTTCGCAAAGCGCGCTATACGTTTACATTGGGTCTCGTAAATGCTGTCCGTGGAAGTCTTTCATATTTCGCTGCCATACAGGCGGCAAGTATGTGGGAGCAGCACCGTGTCTAATATCCTCGGATTTTCTCTGGCATTCGTTCTTCGCGCGTCACGTCCCTTTCTCGCAATAACCGCGCTCTATCCAGAGTTCTTTGATCTTTGCTTGAAATGCAGGCAGTGCAGGGATACTGTGAGATGCGTGTATATGTATACGTGTGTGTATGTATGTTTGTAAGAAGGAAGCGCCCCTTCGCAGGCTGCAGTTACATCCAGATGGATTTTTAAGAAAAAGGAGGAATTGCGATTAAAAAGTAGTTTTATGAGGTGAAATTTTATTGAATGTATGGAGAACAATTTTCTCTTAAAATATAAAGTTCTCTGTTCTTGCAGAATATGTAAAATGTAGAAAAAGATGGTGATACTAATGTATATATAAACTTATAAGTATATATATTAACTACTTATATATTAACTTATAAGTTTAACGGGTTTTGGAAAAATAATATCCGCCGTTCTTTCAAGAAATATTTAGAAAATGTCGGAAAAGTTTGAGTTTAATTCAAACCTATTTAAGTGTCTGCCAGAGTGGGTGGCTGCGAAAGTAATTAATTTAGATTTATTACTTTCTTGCCAAGGATGGGGAAAGACGTGCAGCCATCATTTCTTACGCTGCGAGTCTTTCAAAAGTTTCAGCGCGTTTTACGCAACTGCGAGTGCATATAGAATGCACACCGCACTAATGCAATCTATATAATGCCGCGTGAATATCGGCTAATGTAGGCAAATAGAAGAATAAGAATAACGGAGATCGAGCAAAGAGATATCGGCGTAAAAGACACCCAGGTGGTGTTAAAATACACCGAAGATCTGTAACCCATGCGCGGAGAGAACTGCTTTCCGTAGGAAAGAGCTTCACGTTACAAAGCGCGAGACACCGACTAAACGCGCGGGAGGACTATTAATTATGTTTTAATTATTTTCATCGTCGCGTTGTTCGCGCGTGCGAACTTCTCGCGTTCATAAATTTTTTTCCTCCGCCGTCGTTCTCGCGTGCGCGCTCTCTCTCATCCCCCCGCGATTAATTATGCGGGCTACAAGGAGAAAATTTTTCATATGTAAATTTTTGCATCATCCCGCCGCGAGCGGCGAGAGGCGGAAGGGGGGACGGCGTATAAGGAGAATATATGTGTGTAGCCGTGCAAAACGCCGAGAGACGCGCGCGCTGCGCAAATGAACCTCCTCGCGTTTCAAGAATAATGTCGCTGCCCGCGCGCAAGAAAAATTGCTGGGCGGGCGGCACTTTGAATTATACGCGTTGCCTCGCATATATCCTCGACGTTATATATATATACAAATGCCTTATTTCGTAGACGAACATTTTTAAGACGAACGTGTGACGCGATTGAATCCTTTTTAATTACATTCCAATTTGTATAAATGAATACGTCTATGTATTTTTTTTTCTGTAATGCAAGACATGTAAAAAATATATAACACATATTAATGTTGATTTGTTAAAGCAGCATTTTTGCGTGTTGCATATCGAATGGAACTCCGATGGCTTTTATTAATAATTAAATTTCTGTGCCACACGATAACGATATTATTACCGACACTGACGCGGATACTCTTTTTCTTTTTTATCGCTCAATTTATTGCCCAAAGATTGGTCATTAGTCTTTATTGCTCGTTTCGTCGCGCAGGTATTACTCAACCTCCCGGCACGAAAGTGATCTGTCCGACGCGACGCAGGCAAGCTATACACGCTCGTTCCCGAGGAGCATCAACGGTTGCATTGTGGTGACATTCCCGGGTGCACTTTGCGCGGCGTAAAGTGCCGGCGGCGCTCGCAAATGGTGTGCTTTGACCAGCGTGCGACTCGCGCCGATCCCCCGTCTCGTTTTTCCTCTCCCGCGATGTCCCTTTCCCCTCTCTTTCCCCACTCAAATTGGCGGCAATTGCGCGATCACCGATGAGACTCACTTTCGTTTTACGAGGAGCGAAGTGCCTCGCTCGAATCGCAGCAGTAAGACGTTATTCTTGCCTTCCGCGGAATGTAACTTTTATGGCCGGCGAGGAGGAGGTCGGGAGGAATAGTAGTCGGCGCTGCGCGACCGGTCGATTACGCTATTGCGCTGAAATGATACGTTTCCGGTAAAGCGGTCCCGATGTAACTCTGTGCGGGGCCAAATGTGGATACACTCTGCAGTATAACGCACGTGTGTAATTTTGCGAAATTGTCGTTTGTAAAACGGTAAAAAGACCGAATCGAGCGCGATAAAAGTGCAGAGCCATACGGCTGCGACGGCTGTGCCAAGCTGCCGATGATTGTTACCATTATCTTATTTATTATCATTACTCGCGCCTTTTCCATTTTAATGGCGACAGGCACACATCGCGGCTGATAGTACGTAATTGTCAGCGGCAGCACATATTTTCACGTATACGCGAATAGACACGCGCGCGCGTGTTTACGACGTCCACGACGTCTCATTTGGCATTCGGCTTTCGCGCAACATTCGCGTGTGAAGACGCGCGATTATAGAGAGCCGCGTAATTTGACGAATTACGTTAACTCGCCGTAATTCCGCGTAATTCCAAAGTAGAACGCGCCCCGTGTTCGTTCGACGGTCTCATATCAGGTGTTTCCTCTTATCGTTGCAGCCCGAAACGGTGCCTCAGGCGAGGATCGACATGACCCGCGTACTGGAGGTGGCCGCAGCCGAGGACGTCACCGGGCATCCTTACAGCCTCGCCGTCACTTCGCCGGAGGGTGTGACCTTCGTCAAAGGGACGTGCCGTGAAGAGACCAGGTGGTGGACGGACGTTCTCCAGGTGTATTCGCGAAACAAGGTTGGTCCGGCTCAATATCCCGATACTCGTGTTTTTTATATTTTTTATATAAAACATTTTATATATTTTTTTACATTTTTAAGCATCACGATCATGCATTTGTAGACGCTTGTGTCGCGTCTTGATTAATTCTAGGATACTCTTTCGTGATCGTGATGAACCGTAAATGTAATCGGTACTGAAAATGCTATCGCAAGCAGCTGTTAATGAAGCAAAGGTTAAATGATGTATTTTTTTTTTTGGACCAAGATATTCTTCGCGTAATCGCAGTAAGACACACCGCGAACTGTTGCAGCGAAAGGCGCAATCGAATTTCCGTGTCGAATCATGAGAGAAATGTCGATTCGAGTAAACGGCTCGATTGCTCGACCGGGGGAAAGCCGCGTGCGTCGATGCCTAATGTACACTTGCGTTGTAGAATCGCGTCTTACGTGTATCATTAGAGAATTTAATTTTCTGCCGATTACGGAGGATACGCAGCGGCCGGGACTCCATATATCGATACCGTATTACGTCTCGGAAAGAGCGAGTTGCGCGAGAGAACGGAGTCACGCAAACGGTAAGAAAACGCAAGCCGTCGGCTGATTGCTGGTGCCCTCGCCTCGCATAATCATTACGTGCCATGCATCCTCTCCCGCGTCACGCTTGTTACGCGTGCACGAATGATTCCCCCTCTCCTCCCCCCCCCCATCCTCTCCCCGCTTGCGATGTCTTTTCGCGTACCGTCGACGGGATTAGCTTCGATAGGGTTTCAGCGCGGGTTACCAGAAATGCAACACGAGAGAGAGAGAATCCGAAGAATATCGCGATTATTTCAGCGCGAAAGCCTCGATACAGAACGTGTTAGATCTCTGAGAATTTACGATATTATTTACAGAGTATGTGCGATCTTAATTGAACCAAAAAAAAAAATATCATCTGCTTTTTAATTCTAAATTGCAGGTGAAATTAATTCATGAAATTAATTCGCGAAAATCATTAGTCAACGTTCACGCTACTTTATACGGACGTCGCCGGCGACGAAAGCGTCTTTATTGTCTTTCGTTACATAAAAGAGGCCGTTGTACGTCGCGGGATTAGCGACAATGTGGGACAGAAAATGCGCGACATAAAAGTGCGTCGTCGAGTTCATAAACGGGCGCTTTCGCGTGATGAAGCGGTTATTGAGTGCGATTGTGGCGGGTCGGCGCTTGAAAGGCCTTGGAAAAAAAAAAAAAAATAAGCGCGAGCGCGACAGTGAAACTGCCGACGTTGCCTCGCATAATCGCTGCACGCTGACCGATGAGCGCGCACCGCGGCGTGCTCATTACGCCGACAATAATGCCAGTAGTGCGCGAGTTGTCACTGCCTGGGACTGCGGCGTCTCGCGGGGTTGTCAGTCGAGTCGATTGGCCGCTTCCTGCGATTCATCCGTCTTTTCGCGATCTCTCTAAAGATGCCTTCCCCCCCCCCTCCCTTCCCCTCCCCCGCCTTCCACCGTTTTCTCTTTTCACCGCCGCGCGCCGGGACGTCGCAAAAAGAGTCGTCCTATTATTCAGCCGACGAACCGAAAGCCGCTTGGTGACAAATGGAGAGTGCACCGTTTCACTCGCTGCTATGCGATCACGCGTACCCGGGCGGCGCGCGGCGAGGCGAGCCGGACGTGAGAACGATAGTTCGTAAAAGCTGCCTTACAAGTGGTAACTCCATTAATTACGTGCGTGCTCTTAACGTGTCACGCGCGTTACAAGCTAGATACTTAAGGCCTTTTAAATTCCTTACATTTGACGTCCCATCGTTCCCGGAGAGACCTTGCACTCGGAGCGCGCTGGTATCCACATTTCTGTTCATATTTCGCTCATTAGCAGCCGTAAGTTTGTTAATTGGCAAGATATGTAAAGCTGAGATATGTGAGATTGTGGCGAACGGGTCGAAAGATAAGTGATTTTTGAGCAGAGCTCGGCCATTCCATTGCCGTGCCGGCGCCACGAGGTGCGACCGGTAAATTTATGACATTTCACGCAACACGCGTGAAACGCGTGTTGCAAATTGTTGCGGCCGTAAAACAACTCGCTGCTAAAGCGAGACATGTTTATCCAATCTCTGCTTGTCGACGACCTCAAGTTTACAACGGCGTGCCGAGCGTTTATACCGGCGTTTTGTACACCGCGTGTTGTATACGCTTATGCGTATTGCGCAAACTTGCAAGTCGTCGGCGAGCGAGCCGAAAAGAAATTCGGGTCGAAGTCCGCTGATGGTCCTCTCGCGGTCCGAGCGATTGTCTAACTAAATTAATAATTGCGGACCGAGAATTAGATGTCCGCCCCGCGCAAACTTTCCAATAAATCAGTCCCGTCATAAATCGAGCTGCCCAAAAGCTGTCATTCGTTACGTCGCTCGGAGTTTTGCAACAACGCCGCGGATCGCTCGGCAACGATCAGTGGTTACGCAAGAAAATGATCGATCGGCGCAAGCAAAAATATCTCTTCATTCGGTACAAAACTTCTGGTGCAAAACGCGAAACAGTTACTGCGTCGTGTTACTGCACGTACGATCGTATCGACGTATTTTTACCGAAGGATAGATTTCACGGGGAGATATCTTTTTTATTTTATTTCGGATACACACGCAACATCCAAAAATTCATTCCCGAAGTAGGTCTCGCGTGTTACAACATATCAGTTAATATTTTTCTTATTTTTCTCTTGGAGCGCGCATATTCTTATTTAAATTAACTCTATAAATTAATTAATGAAAAAAATGTAGTTGCGAGAGGCAAATATTTTTCGATTTATATTGTCGGGGCGTGTATAAAGAAATATTCCGAGACACGCAAATACCACTTTGCATATCCGCGGACGCTTCGTAAATTATTGTACCTGAGTTATGTGTTATAACGCGCGTATGTTAAAGTTCGTAAAGCTGTAATTCTCAAACAAAAAACATTCTCTTTCAAGAATACATCCGAGATTCTCTCTCTCTCTCTCTCTTTCTCTTTCTCGTAATAGCCTGATAATTATCTCTTCAGAACATAACAGAATGAAGTATTCTTTGCGCCCGCGGGTCTCGCGTCGGCTCCCAATCGATCAATCGGCCTCGCGCGAATCGTTTAGGATCTCGTCGCGGGCTCGCGTTGCTCACGTACGGAGATTACACGCGGCTACACGTAGGTACGTCAATTCCGTTACGCAAGCAATGATCGATCGGCAAATGGCTACACCTCGTTGTCGTTGGACCCGCGCGCGGTGTAAACGAACGATTATGTTACGAGGCCAAGGCGAGATGCATACTTACGTACATGCCGCGCGACATTTAACGCGGGTGAACGTGGAGGAAACGCTGCTCCCGCGTTATTTTCCACGTTTTTCTTTTACGATTTACCCCACCTCCCCGTTCGCCGTTGTGTCCTTCGAAACCGCCACGCGGTCTATATGCAAAGGAGGCTTGCTTATTGCACCTCGTGACCACTCGTGAAGTCAATTTATTAGCAATCGTCAGCTTCTTCCAACTGAAGATGAAGGACGGTACAAGAAGATATATCATGCGTCAGAAACATTAAGCTATTAATGAACAAATAGTATATTTTAATATCATTAAAAAAAGTATAGAGTTGATAATGCGACTTATTACAGTCTGATGATTTACGCGTTAGATTGAAATTCGGGTTAAATGTTTCGCGGGAAATAGGTACATCCGTTCGTGGATCGTGGCGTTCTCACGATTACGGGCGCGGACGAGCGTAATCGTGCGATTATTCGCGGAACGCTTTTCAGATCGCGCGTATACGTATACCTCGCCGCGATCGATTATCCGGTTAGATTGTTACGGCGAAGGAACGCTCGAGAGTTTGTTTTTTTTTGTTTTTTTTAACAATAGAGAGATCCTTGGGTAAACTCTCTTCTACACGATGTCTTCACGATGTGCCATTTTGTGGTTTTCAGGGTCGGCACAAGCGAAATGCAACCTTTCCCGGCGGGCAGACGACGATCCTGCAAGTTACACCGACAATTCGAAGTGAGTGGCCTGCTGCTTGTATGCGCTATGTAAATCTCATCATGGTATTTATAATACGCGCGTAGACACTTCCACCGCCGCGCCGGTGGTTAAACACGACGGTGTAATCACTATCCCATTTAGCCGTTTCGCGGTATTGCGATAGACGTAGGTCTTTACGCAAACAACCTGACGTAACGAGGGGTAACGTGCGACAGTTCGTTGCCGGCGTGGTAAATATCGCATGGGACGCGTGTGACAGAGACGAATACAAATAACAGGAAGACAACTGGGCGCGAGGGAGAGAAGGCAGATATCTTCTTCACAATGTGTGCGACTGTTATTATACCGCTGCCACCTCGTTATCCCCCTCTCCCCTCCCCCCGGTTTCGAGAACGAGAAGTTCTCGTTATCCCTAATTGAACTGCATTTATTTCCACAATTATCCATGACGGAAATTACGGCGATTAATTCGCGAGTTGAATCACGTGTTACGTAACAATAGGACGATGATCCTTTAATCTCGATTAAAATAAATCTCTTTCGTACTGAAGTTTTCGCGTTCGATGCCGCACTGTTTTCTAAGAAAGGGCCAGGATATCTCGTCTTTCTTTCATTTTATTTGTAGAGATCTTGCATTCCGTCGTCCGCGTTCTTACTCGCTCGTCCGAGCTTTTACAAAATGTGGCAATCTGATCTTATTTGCCAGGTAACACGCCAAATCCACCGCGACCGCGCTTCAATAGCTGCCGATCGGAGCCGCGCAGCAGCGCGTCGTGGATTCCGGAGACCGGCGGCGGAACGTCGGATCTGTGCACCTCCGTTTTCTCGTCCACGCCGTCCTTGGTGACGACCAGCGTCGTCACCGCCACCAGCAGCAGCGTGCTGACGAACGGCAACACGGAGAGCGTCCCCGAGATCAGGAACAGCCTGTCGCCGTTGCGCGCTCTCGAGAACGGGTCCACCGGAAATTATCTGTCCGGCGTGACGTCGACCACGTCGTCGTCGTCGTTGAACGGCAACGTCTGCAGCACGATCTATTCGACTTCCACGACGGCCGTCGCGACGGCGACGACGACGACGACGGCGAGCAGCATTGTCTCGCTGACCGATAAGCCGCCGATGATCCCCAACGACGGCGCGAGATCGACGAGCTATCGCGATCAACCTGCCAGCAGCGCGTCACCGCCGACCCGGGACAAGCTCCGCGCCGAGGACAAGGCCAGGCGCAGGATGAATCAGCAGGGCGAGCGGACCGTCGGCATCATCGGCGACGCGGCCGGCCCAGCCTCCGGCGAGAAACTAGGTCGGTATATTAAATGAGGCGCAATCTCTCCCTATTGACGCGACGACTCCTACGGATGATACCGTCATCTCGTACTCTGACATCTCCCTGACTCTGATTACGCAGGACATCTGTCTGGTATCTTTATGTATCTGTCTTATATCGTTGCAATATGGAGAATAAGATTCTGTTGTTTGCTCGCATTATATGTAATCGAACCGGGATTTGGAAAAATGAAACTGTGAGTGACGATTCTTAAATTTTCACTTGCTTGTGATTTTTTCCATTAAGATATCTCGCGATACACATTGAATAAATATTCTTTGGTATGATTACTTAACGAATAACAATTAATAGCTAGTTTTAACAAGAAATTGCTATTGTTTTATTTGGGGATTTTTACTTTATCGACGATAATATTATAAAATTGAGAAGTGCACGTGGATAATTGACAAAAACAATTTAAAAAGAATGTGACTCCATTTCGCAATACATACGTGTGAAAGTCACATTAGACGTCTCATAACTCTCAGGAGGTTCGTCTCACCTTGTCACGATTCACGTCGAAAGTTTTTCTTGCTCTTAATAGACGGATAAAACTAGTTTATATACGGATGGAAACTGGGACGCCGCCACTTTGCGTTTTACATTCTCAATGACGATGATTTGCAGTCCGCGTAAGAAACGACTGACGTATATTAAGTCGGAGCTGACCTATTTTTATTCGATATAATTGATACTGCAAACGTAGCAGTTAGTGTGAAAACGCGGCTGGAATTACATCTAGAGAGCCATATTAGTGAAATCCTGAATCCTTTTCAGAAGAGAGAAATATTATATAATTAACATTATAAGAGCTGATATTATAATAACGAATGTATTCCAATATGTATATTATTGAGAAAAATTCTCATCGCGCGATTTGAGAATTACGGTGATTTTCGTCGTGAAAAATCGGTTGTTTCTCGGCGTTAACAGGCCTTTCGACATCGGACTGTAGCGTCCAATACGTTTGTCTCTCGCGAGAGCTCCCGGGAAAGTATCGGGACCCGATTGTACCGTCCCGTACCCGGCATTACACGTTGCGTAATTGCGTACGCGCAATCTCCAAGGAAATCTACGGGCTGTACGGCCGCGTTGCGTTGCGCTGCGCCGCGCGCGATCCGTAGATTTCATTTAGATTGACGCCAGACGAACGACGGGATACTTTAGAAACTGCCTCGCGAAAAATCGGGACGCGGGTACGCGAAATCCATCGGACGATCTGCGCTAACGATTTCCAACGTACGGCGGATTATTGAAACGCGTCTGTGTCTTATCGGAGCGTCGAAATCACACGCGAGATTTAAGCCGCAGATCGCCGATTAGCCGCGGTCGGTTTAATCCCGTGCCCGGCGAGAGATTCCGACGTGGAATTTATTCACGAGAAATCTGCGATTTATTAGCAAAACTGTGAGTCTCTCGCGAAAGTTCGAGGAAATTTTTACTGTTTTTTAGCACTGCTAATTTAGTTTTACAGAGAGTCCCGTTTAATGTACTGTAATTTTCAGTCGACCTCAGTCGTATATTTTATTGTAATCTGTCAATAATTCAATTTATCCTCTAAATGAAACGCAACATATTTTTTCTTTTTATGACGAGAGATAGCCATTAATATAATGATGACGTGGTTGATTTTGACACACCGCTAAGATAAACGAGAGGTAAAGCGCGCGCTCACAAGACGGTTCTTTCGCTTCTCTCGCTCGCTTGTTGCGGCATCGCATTGGCTAGAAAGTTATTAATTAGTCGGCAGTCAATTAATGCGGAGTGGTCGTTTACCCGTGCCAACGAGCGCCCATGTCGGGCGAACGGCGCTTATAAGCAGAAAAGAAATTAATTAGTTGACTCGCCGACGCGGCGACGTAGCGAAACTCGAATATTTGATAACTATTCGCGGGAAGCCGACTTAACGGTTTCGCCCCGTGCAGTGGTCCTTTGGGTACTGCTCGCGGGCATTCTAAGTATCATAATTATAATTAATATTGTTCTGGGGGGTACGCCGTTAGGCTCGCGAGCTGATTGAAGTTATAGAAAACGAATAAATAGATAGATGTAGACAGGTAAAATAAAGGTTAACATTATATTGCGATGATGCAGAAGTAAAGAAGTGAAAAAAAGTCTAGGAAAATTTATATTAATATATATTGTTTAGACGACGACGCGTGTCGGAGGATACTTTTGGAGCACGAGCGGGAGAGAGAGGGAAAGCTACGAGATATTGCAGCTTCTTTAACACAGCCACGAGCGAGAAGAATGAAGCCAAGAACTTCGGAGCCAACCAGAGACGTCGTGGATGCGGTCAACGCGGCTCATCAAGATAAACTTGTACGTAATGGGGAGATTATTAATCCAGCTGTATCTTGCATCGGCAGAATAATAATTATTCACTGTTCTTTAAAAAAAAAAACCACACATTTATTAGACAGGGAATATATCTGATTGCCTTGTATTTAATCGTTCAATTAAGATTTTGTGAGATGTAAAAGTGTGAAATCTCTGTGGAAGATTATTGATGTTTTAATTGATTTTGCTTAGAAATAAGTCACATTACGATATACATACGTTTCACGTGCAGATCAGAGGCGATCCCGATGGCTGCGGCCTAGATATTTCCGGCATCAGGTATTCACCCACTTCCGAACTGAGAGTCGATCTGCCGGCAGAGGACTTGCTGAACATCAAGAAGGGCTGGCTGATGAAGCAGGGCTTGAATAAGGTATGTTTTACTTCGGTAACGATGAAAATCTCAGAAATGTCTCGCATGTTAGCTAAATATTTTGTTTCTATTTGATTTTATTTTTTAACCAGGAATGGAACAAACACTGGTTTGTTCTGAGAGGCTGCGGACTGATGTACTACAGGGATCCCTGTGCGGAGGACAAAGGCATCATGGACGGCGTTATAGACCTCAATACTGTCACCGCGGTCACGTCGCTTCAGGTCGCACGAAATTACGGATTCCAGACTGTCGTGAGTAATCGTAATTATGATATCGCGTTTGCGTGAGCGTGGAGCGTTCGTGTTTTCCCGGAAAGTAGCCGCTTTTGTAAAGCAATTTGCTTAATTACAGCTGTTTAATTACGTGATAATGTTGTTTTATTTCAAATTAAAGTCTAGCGATTCCATGGCATGACCCACTTTTCTCATTAGAAAAATTCAAGGCAGAGAAAATTGGATGTATCAATTTAAAGAACTTGAGAAAGTTTATCTTAAAGTCAGAAAGAATTAGATTCGCGCGCACATATCGATTCTTTCTTTGGAAAGCATTTTTAGATCAACTTTTTGCTTGAATCGTGAAAGCAATAAAAAGATGAAAAAATAGTTAAATATGTCAAGAGATATAAAACTTGAATTTAAGCCATGAACCACAATTTCACGCTGAAACTCGACGCATGCGTTTGTTCGAATTAGATCGGGATTAGCTTCCGCATCTAGAATGGGAGCGCCCAGGAGAAAATACTAACTCAATTTCACGGTAGAATAAATCGGGAGCTTCTTGTTCGCGCTATTGATTGTTGGCAACGGTCGCGTTTCTCGCTCGAGATGAAGCCCATGCAGTCGCATGACATTTCTTTCACGCTTATATTATTTGTGCGCGACGCGTACTAACTACTTTGGCTTACGACACAGGCCTGGGACGACAGAGGTAGCACGGTGCTGTCCGCGGTGACAGCTGGCATTAGGTCCAGTTGGATGTCGGCCATCAGAAGAGCGGCCAATCTACCTGATCCCGATAGCAGCGTGGATTCTCTTACCGTTTGCACGGATACTCAGCAAGAGACAAATCCTCAGTCGCCTACTACGTGAGTATAAATTTATGCAATCGTGTAGCAAACATTTCTTTTTACATAACCACATCACAAATAATAGCGTCTTGTGTAATATTAATAATAACATATTTAAAGAGTTTACGCTTAAAAATAGTTATATATTTATATATTGCAGCATATATTTTTTATAAGAGAAATTTTTTTAGAGAAAATAATTTATATTATAAAGTTAAAGACGTATACAAATATTATATTATAGATCTATTACGGATCGTGAGAGGGACTCTGTCGTTCCGTCGACATCCATCACACCTAGATCGGTGCTGTTCTCGTCTGACGAAGAGTACAGGACCGCTTCCGAGGGTGGACGAAGAGAGTCTGGCGACTGGTCGGAGATGCCGGTGTCGCCACCGCTGGTGAGAAACGGCGATTGGCCTATGGCGCTGAAGGGTTCCGGCTGGTCGGATTCGGCGAACCACGAGTGGTCGGAGCTGCCACCGTCGCCGCCGTTGACGAGAACCGCATTGTCGAGGGTGAAAGCTCGGTCTAGATCGAGTTCCAGATCGAGGGTCTACAAGAGAAGTCGGAGCTCGCCCCCGAGTTCGCGGAGAAGTACCCTGGACAGCGTAAGATCGGAGGATCTGATGATGGCTTGCTGCGAACTCGGCGAGGACGAGGAGCAGAACAACGGCCACCTGCAGAGTAACAGCTGCCTCTCGAGCACCAACGATAGCCCGCTTATCGTCGAGCTTTTGGAGAATCAAGTGTCGCTGCTGCGCGATCAACTGGATCAGAATCAGTCTCATCCGAGTACGTTACTAGTCATTATCGAGCGTCAGGAGAACGAAATCGAGGGCTTGAAGTCGCAGCTGAATGCGGCGCGGACCGACATCGCAAACGCAGAGAAGGAGCTGTCCAGGCTCCGACAGCAGAAAGCGGAAGCGTCCATCAGGGAGAAACAAGTGGAGGAACTGTTGAATACGATACAAAGAACGGAACAGCAGCGAAACAAGGATCTCGACGATTTGGAGAAGATGAAGAAGGTGTACAATAGAGAGAAGGAGGTCTTGGAGTGCAAATTACTTGAAACAGAGGCTATTTTGAGAGAGACGACGGAGAGATGCGAAATGCTTACGAACGAAGTGACGTCGAGTCACCGATCCGTCGAGCATCTTCAGGCGGAAACAGCAGCTCTCAGCGACAGATTGTCCCAAGGTATATTCATTTATTCTGGTAACACATATATTCTGTTCATTGATGAAACGTAATTTTATATTTTAACAAGATAAATTTAAATAATCTTTATTTAATTAATTATAATTATAACTTTATTTAAATAATCTTTGACTGACGATATATTATTTCTTAAATTAGGTATCGAGGAGAACGAACGGCTTTACAATAGAGTAAGGGAACTGGAGGAAAAGAATGGACTGTCTGCTTCGAGGGAACGTGGAAGAAGCTTCGATTCGCTTAGCGATTTGACCAATATTGAATTGGATTTAGATTTGACTGCATTGGACAAGGAAAGGTAAATGCGCGTTGTGTAAAAATATAAAAAGTACTTTGCCAGAGTAACAGTCGCGTATACAATGTGATATTTTTGTTGCAGAGTTATGGAGGAGTACGACGAGTTGCGAAGCCGTTTCGAGAAGGCTGTCATGGAGATTCGAGCTATGAGGAAGGAGTTGCGAGAAGCTCATGCCACACAAGATGTTTTGGAGTTGGAAATCTTTGCTCATAAGCAGGACGCAGTTAACGTCAGCGAGACAAATCAAGCACAGATTCAGTTAATGGCGGCGAGAATTCAGGATCTGACTAACAAGCTAGCCGCTAGCGAGAAGCAAATTAGAACTCTAAAGCAAAAGTTGACGAAGGCCGAGAGCAGAGATAAGAGAAGATCACTCTCTCTGAAAGGAAGAGAATCTTTTCAGATCTCTCAGGAGGTGGAAGACAAACTTTTGGATCTTGAAAACAAGATTTGCGCTATAGAGAGAGGCAAGAGCATCAGCGCTCCTGTTTCCGCCGGCAACAGCTCGAAGGAATCGAGCCCTAATCCGAAGAAAGAAAAGAGAAGAGAAAGCAAGAATCTGGATCGGGCTAGATTGCGAAGAAAATCGTTGGATAGCGCGACGAGCTCCGAACCGATGAAAGTGTTGATTAGATTAAGCACTCTGGAAACGAAAGTGGCGAACGTTGCTGAGACCATGGCCAGTGACGCGGAGAAGGATTCCAGCGAGTGCAGCGAAATCAACGGGTCCTCCGAGGTGTCGTTGGAGGTCCTGGCAAGGCTGAAGAAACTGGAGAGAGTAGTGTCGAAGTCGAAACGACGATTGGAGAAGTGCCTCGGCTCGACGCAAGCGGAGGACAAGGCCGAGAAGTGTTTGCGCGAGGTGAATGAAATCTTGGACTCGTGCTTAGAATGTAAGAAGAATCAGGCTAGCGCTCAAATCACCGAGTCAGTAGGGGTAGTGGTATCTAGGCTAGAAACTATACTTAAGGACAAACTGAGCGAACTCACGAAGAGACGGCAGTTGCTGGCGCAGGAAGGTCGGCTGGACGAGAGGGAGAAGATGCGACTCGTCGCCGAGAGAATAGCCTTCGAGTCCGTGATCCTGCGGCAGATAAAGTGCGCGCTGAATCGCACGACGGACAGAAGCGCCGTTTTGAGTGAATTGGTCGAAACTAGTCAGCTTGCCTCAAGCTTAAAGCGTAAGATTCACGGAACTAAGCCCAAAACGTACCAAAAAACGAATTACATTCAGTATCTCACTAAAGTGTTAGCGAATAAGTTAGTACTGATAGGACATCCCTCCGTATCGGCGGAAACGCCGAAGGAGATTGGTGCCGCTCGCAGCGAAAGTCTCAACTTTCTGCTGCAGAAGCAGCGGGAGATCAACGAGATCATGCGGAAGTACAAGGACGCGAAGTTGCGACAGCTCGCGGAATCTCTGGCCGCCGAGACGTTGAGTCTGTCCGAGCAGGAGGATCTCGCGGGCAAGCAGATAAGCGGCTCCAGCAAGAAGCTACTCGAGGATAGACGTATTCGCGAGGCGTGGGCTTTAGCACAGGAGACCGTGAGCAAGGAGCTCGTACAGGCCGAAGTGTCTCACGTCATCATGCGTTACGGACAGTTGTACGAGCAAAATGTGACGTCGATCACGGACATTTGCCTCAGCTTCGACAACGCGGACAGTGTCAAGCTAGAGTCGTGGGTGGACGCGGCGCAGGTGCGGTTGCGCCAGGAAATGGAGGTTTCCATACACGAGCTGTCGGAGGCTTACGAGGACTGTCTGCGTACGATGAAGAAGAGCAAGTTGACGGCGCTCGATTCCAAGCACGAGTCCCGCCAACTGCTCACCGACTACGCCGACGTGATTGCGCACAAGGCTTTAATAGATTCCAGAATCGCCCTCCTTCAGGAAACCACTCGGCAATCATCTACGACGCTGTCTGGCGAGACTTTCGTATCTAGTCTTATTCGAAACGAAGACATTCTTTCCTGTCTGGCAAACGACGAGGGATACGATCTTCAAAGCAATCCGATTCTCGACGCGGAGTACAGTTACCTTTACCAGCGATTGACTAAGGAGTGCGAGGACAGAATATCCGGAAGGAGAGAGTCGAAAGAGCAGCTCAAGAACGTCAGTCAGTCGTTGTTCCACTTGGAAGAGAATCTGGCTGAGCTCAGCAAATGTATAAGGGATAAAACTGGCGTGAAAATTGACAATATGATTTGGTCGAAGTCGACGAGCAGCGTCACCGATTGGTCTAGCGTGTGCGAGAAATGTTTGCATTTACGCGAGCAGATAAGGAAGTTAAGCGAACACATGAACAACGTGTCGTGCCAGACATGCAATCAATTGCAGGAAGCTATTCAAAAGATAACCAACGAACATAATCAGGAATTGGAGACACTCAAGCGCAATCAGGAGAGAGATCTGATGGATATCAAAGGCGAACTGGACTGCCAGCGGCAATCCCTGACGACACAGTACGAGCAGGAGGCCGCCAGCTTGCGCGAGAGAGCCAGGAAATTGGAGCACCGTCTTAACGCGATGGATTCCGAGCACTCGGCTCACGTGAACGAGCTGAGGGCTGCCTATCAGAGATCGATAAGCGCCGAACTGGACACAGACGCCGAGACGCGAAAGCGGTACAAGGAGGAGATCAAGCAGCTGCGCGCGTTATGCGAGAAGGGTCTGTTGGCGATGGAGAACTCGCACAGGCGCATCATCGCCGAGACGGAAGAGAAACATCGGCAGGAATTGGAGAACCTCAGGGTGGAGAAGGAGCAGGCGCTCTCCGAGGAGACGCAGGCGACCCTGGCCGCGCTGGACGCCATGAGGAAAGCGCACGAGCACGAGGTGCAGAAGGAGATCGCCAAGTTCAAGCAGGAGTTTCTCAAGCAGATGCAGGCGCGCGAGGACATTGGCGTGCTGCACAAGGAACACGAGTATGCGAGGATTTTTTTTTTTTTTTCAAATTCGACGCTAACCGTCGAGTTAAGAGTTTTGACGGCCTGAGACTAAATGCTGCGTATGTCTTTTCTTTCTTACAGGGAGGAAATGGAGGAGATAAAGCAGGAGATTCTTTCTCTGTCCGCGAAGTATTCGTCCAAATGCGTGGAGTCAGCCGCGTTGGAGGAGAAAGTGGGCAACCTGTCCAAGCAACTCGCCCAGGCGCAACAGCACATCATGCAGCTGGATGCGAGGAACAAGCAGTTACGGGCGCATCTGGTATTGGAGACGAATGACAGTAGCGGTATCAATGATACTATACAGATTCTGAGAGGTAGAGACAACGAGCTCGCCGAGCCGAGGGATGAAATGCACCGACTGCAACAACAATTCAAGGTAAACGGCTGTCCCTCGACTGGCAAAAAGTTCGTCGTTTTTAGAAAAGAGTAGATGTGGTTAACAAACATGTACACTACTAAATTTTAATTAACTCTGCTGCAATTACATATTATATGGTGTTTCACCTATAGTGAGCTTGTCGCGCTTTTAACAAAATTTCCATCCGTATCGGTATCTTAATCGCTGAAATAAAAAATTCCATGCGCTTTTCATTAACGACCGCCTCTCATCGTTTTCACACATTCTCGAACCTGTATATCGCCCTGTAAATAATATAATATTAAATCGTCCGTTACGAGCCGATAAATGCCATAACTGATGTAATTGTAATTTAACGAGCAATTCAAGCGATTTGACTAGCGATTTAACCCGCCCCCTTCCGCTCGCCCATCAGCCGCATTGACGCATATTTTCGATATTTCACTAACAGCATGGGGACAACCTTCGTGAATCGTCCGGCGTGCCGTCGAAAGTCGCCCTGTCGCTAGACTACTCGCCTGCCTATTCGCCACAACGTCTCAGAGGTAGTCAGGGTGGCGGCGAGCAGAAATTAACGAGCGAACGGAGTCCGAAAGGAGCGAGCTCCTTGTCCAGCGCGTTGCGTAAACCATCTCTGTCGGCGGAACGGCCTCAGAGCGCGTTCTCGTACAGACTCGAGCGCGTAAAGTCCGTCTCGTTGCCGTACTCGAGTAGTCTGGCCAGGCCGGCGAGTAGCGACGGCGTTTCCGGCGGGAAAGAGCCGCCGGCGAGTTTAGGACAAAAGGAGCGTAACGGCAACCTGGGCTCGCCGTTGTGGGACAGCTTAAGACCGAGGAGCGGCCTGCCTCATCAGTATCAAGGTACAGAAGAGAGATGAATGCGGAGAGAAAGAGGAGGGCGGAAAGAATCTGTACGGTGGTGGAATGTATTGTCGATCGACAGCGGGAAGGGGGGGGGGGGAAGTTGGCTGCTTTTGTAAAATATTACTGCGTAATCGCTGACGTAATTGTCTTATTATCAATGGTTGTTTACTACTTTATAATCGATATTGATTCGAAGACTTTTATATTTGAAACAATGCACTCGAGAATGTTGTCGTTTTCTAATGTAATGCCGGAAAGTCGTGAAAAATTGCGAGAATCAGGCAAGGTTTCTCTGTCTTCGATTACTATTTTGCGGAGGGAGAATGACACTGGAGTGAGATTAACATATGTGCTTTATGGAAATTAACTGCGCTTCTAAGATATTAACACTGTTAATACATTGCTGACTCTAATAAGACTGCGAGCATATCATTTTAAGCGAGCTCTACACGACCAATGCTATTAATGTAATATTGTATCAACGTTATTATATGATTTGATATTAATATTAGGCATTAAATAATCAATATCGTTGCATAATTTTGATGTATTGTATAGATATGTAGAGGTCGCTTAATTATGCATAATATGTAAATGTGCAATATTTATCGAGCAACGTGACGTTTGTTAACTCCTGTGAAAAGCTTATCCTTATCGCATGTATATATTATACGAATGAGTCTAAGCCTTTCCCCTTTATCATTACTGTATTGTTAATTATTGCATTAATTTCCATGAGAATAATCGATAAAATTGGCGGTCTTCTAATTGTAATTAAGTTATTAATGAATTTAGACTGACTAACGTTGAAAGCGTGCCTTCTATTATCTGATATCAATTGCATATGATGCATTGTGCTTGTCTAACGCTGATTATTTGCTAACATCAATTGTGTACGGGTCCACGATGTGCAGTATGCGAAATAATCTTGCCTTACCGTGGGTGTAACACGCTATACGCTATAAATGTCTAATCTACGAAGATATTAATAGATAGATTTTGTACCGTATGAAATGTGGGGGCCGTGGCACACATGGTAGTGTGCCTGCTCTCCGTGTAGGAGACCCGAATTCAAAACCATTTAGAACTCAATAAAATAAAAATCGGCCCCCACCGGTTCTTCCAGCCAACCGACAGTCAGCACAACTCTGACGGCTGGATAGGATTCTGTGGGCCAATCACCCGCAAGTCCGAAAAGAAAGAAGCAATTGATTCGAGAACAGGTCGCGGGGTAACGAATGGCTCGATGTGCGAGCACGTTGATACATAATTGGCGGTCTCGACTTCGATCCTTCACTCCATATATGCTTCGAGTTTAATGAAGAAGAAAAGAATAAAATGAAAAATACTTATAGACGTGCACATAAGGAGATAGGATATCATACATTACATACCGTATGAAATGTGCTAAAGATGTGTGGATTGTACGTTAATACGACAATGGTCAAATAAAAATATGTTATTTATATCGGCATTAATTAGTCCAGTTTAAGGTATACATACGTTTCTAGTTCTTCACATACAGGGATCTAGTCACTGACACATCTCTGATTAAGGGTTTCACTGTAACAATGATGGAATTTGACACATCAGCCTAAGATGAAATATATATTTTTTTCCAAATCAGATGTATTTTGTACATGTCTTTGCATTAGTTTTTTTATGATGTGTACATGCGTATATAATTATACACATATATACTTGATGTAAAGAGTATGTCTACATTAAATGGATCTAGGATAGAGAAAAATCTGAGAGGCAGGCTCTGTAACAAGTTCCTTCCTACAATTCAACGATAATCAAAACGTATATCAAGTAAAAGCATTACACGATAGAATATCCTTTAGCGATTCATAATTCACAGTTTTAAATGTATTTTTTAATGAAATTTTCATAATGCGATACGACAACCGATGTGTTGTAACGATGTGCATTGAGCGTAACAATATTTCGACAACTTGTTTGACATGTAAGGTGGCACAACAGCAGAGATGCGAGTCGGCGGCGGCACTGGCGCCCAGCGGTGGCAGGAGACCAAGCAGAATGAAAAGCAGCACCTCTCGCAGACATACACCCTCCGTGCCAACGCTCGTCACACATCCCGCCTCACCCCGGAACCCGCAGCTCTCTCCGTTGCAGGTCCGTTTGTCTCCTACGTTGCTTTGCTGAATGTTACCTGAGCGTATCGTTTCATTCACGCTATCCTCTTTCATGTCACGATTTGTGCGATTCTCGTATTGTCGTATATGTCTGCTTTAGTTCTTGTGTCACATGAAAAATTTTATATTTATGATTTCTTTATTTTTTATCTCGCGTTTTCATAATTGCGAATAATGATCCGTATCATCTGTTTTATACCTTACAGAGTTGATGAGGTCTCCAGCAGTGAGATGGTCCAGCAGAAGTTGTCGCAGCCTACCTCCGACGCCTACACCAAGTTACCATCATCCACTTCACCCTCCTCTGCCCGCCGTAGGCATGGTCGCCGAGAGGAAAAAACGTTTCGAGCTTTGAACTTCTGTACTTTTCTTATTTCACTTATTAATAATTAAATAATGCGTATGCGTATACAGAAATAGTCGAAGCGATTACACACATTTGACGTATTTAAAATTATTTGAAAAAAAAAAAAACGAAATTTGTGACATTCCGGATAATAAAATATCATTTATGATATCGAAATAAAAGAAGAAATACATTCTTCCGGTATGTGCTTCTTCTTTTGGAAATTATAAGACTGAAAGTATATTTTGATATATAAAATGGAACCAATCATTTGAAAACGCTTCACACAGGGGACACAGATTAGTCGGATAATCTGCGATTCGCGTGAACGCGAATTGCAATTTCACCACTGCCATACGAGAATCGCGTTGAGGCTTGGATGATTTTTGATGGACCAAAGTCGAAATATCTATCGATCGCGTTCGTTGTAAATATTGAATCGTGTTTATTAAGTAAACACGATTCAATAACCGAGACAAGTTCCGATTATTCAAAGAGGACGGATTGCGAAATCTCTTCTTCTTACATGACGTGAAAATTCGTAATGTCAACAATCATTGCTTTTCTTGCAAAAAGATCTTACAAATAAAATTTGTCTTATCCGCAAAAATATCATACATATATATTATGTTATATAAAATATGTTTTATTAATAATTTTCTTCATTATTGGAAATATTTAAATTGATTTACAATTAGTAACTCTATATTAACAACTTTTTCCATTGTTGAAGGAAATATTTAAATTTATTTACAGCCTGTCAATTCATTATTTTATTTTGTTTTATATAACATTAATACATTCTTTTTTTTTTGTAGAACTAATTTTGCGAAATAATAATAATATAGAAGATGTGTTAAATTAGATGCTATGCTTGTATTTCTTTGAGATTTGATTTGCGATAAATGGACAATAATTAGAAAAAAAATTTGGACTGTAAGAATAAATAAACGCGCCAAGTTATTCTCTTTTTTGTTGAACAAAGTTAATAATTAAATAATATAGTACGGTTTATAAAATGATACGTAAAATCATGAAGAACTATCAAGGAATAATGCTTAATATCAAGTATTAAATCAGTAACATAACGTAGTAAATACCAATTAAACGCAAATTTGACGCGATCGATTAATGCGATTCAATGAGCTATCTATCGATCGCGGTCGTTTTACAGACTTTTTTCCGAGAAATTTTCCTAAGCGTATTTACTCACGTCACGTCACTTTGGCGGACGGCCATTTTTTGATATTGCATTTAGACTTTGATAAGGGGGTTTTTTAATCGTTAGATGCGAGTAGAGGTTTTTTACCACAAACGACTTTCCGCGAGTGTCGCGATTTTGGAATATTTCGGGGCATTAATCACCGTAAAAACGCAAAATATGCGAAATTTTTCACGATGTATTACTTGATGGTGCTAAAAAAAAAACGAGCGTGCATTAAGGAAACGCGTGTTACGCATTATATGTATACAACCGTTGTGATAGCCTATTATAATAGGCTATCATGACGGTTGTATATATAATTCATAACATAGCATATGTTATAACATAGCATAGGACTGTGTTTCGATGTAAAAATATATAGGACCAAGAACAAATATTTATTAGGTTTCCGCAATCTTATCGAAATTCGCATTGGCTGATAGCGTTCTCCATGAAATTGATTTTTCGTGTTAGGCGAATCCTACTCTAAAGTTACTGTCAAAGGAGATAATATTGTTTAAGTGCGTATTAACGTTGAAATACGAATAATTAAATATGTTTAATATCGTTATATTTTGATAATTCTGGAGGATTTGTATTTGTTGAGCATATTCGCCAATAGGTAAAGGAAAGATTTCATTTTACGCTGATTAAACTTGCGTATTCTATACTTGCGTACGTCTATCCTCCTTTCAGAGGAAATCCCGTTAAGTTTGTTATCTTTAAGGCACATAAATATTTTATAAATCATACACTTCTGGTTATTTACAGAAGAGATATTTCTGACACTAGGTTGCGGACGAAAATGTAAAAGAGGTGTAAAAAAAGAGAGAAATTTTAGTTTGTTCGGGAAACGAATCGAGAACAAAGAGATCATTTTACGCTTGTTTCTCGCTCTTGTTATGTATAGATGTTGCACGTCGATTACGGCATTGTACTCTGTGTACCATCGCATCTTCTCATTGTAAATGTTTTCAGATCATTGTTTGCGATCATTTGATGTTAATACTGTATAGTTTATGACGTTTTATTAAGGATTAATAAAATATAGGCGATTAATTTCTGTCCGATCCCCTAATATATCGTGTGTATGGATTGTTTATATATTACTATTGTATTTTATATTATATATATTATTACTGCGATTATTATTGCGATTCGTTCCAGTGATTCGCTCGATATTAAAACGATAGAGGGTATTAAAAATCTTTCGATTGTCCCTTATGTAGAATAATTACTCAGGTTTGTTTAACATTTATAATATATTACGATTATGCTATTGTATTTGTATGATAATTTATATATAACACGTTTGAAATAAAATGTAACCATGAACACGTCAAACAGCGTCAATTGTTATTTATCACTTTATATATCTACCTGTGTATTAACGTGTCCCAAATTTGAGAACCTGTTTTTTCTGAAATTCGCATCACAATTGAAATATTCTCAAGAAATATCTTTGTTTTAGAATATTATACATATTCTAATACTTAGTATACATTTCCTCAGAAGAGATTTAACAACAAAGATTTTATAATATCAATATAATGCAGATCGAAGATAATTAAAAGCGAAACACGTATATCAATAATTAATTCTGTAGAAATCTTATTTTTTTGAGTGTTTCTTACTTTGTTGATCATTTTAATAAAGTATTCGATGAGATACTATAACAGTACTAAAATGTAATTACATTATTAAGATAAATGCGAATTACAAATTCCTGAATACCGACTTTGAACATTGTCGCTGATTTGTTGATAAATAATCGATATCTTAGAATATCAAGATATCCATTTCTTCTGACAAATCTAATTTTGTTCACCTGTTTTACGTTTTTTATGTTATTTAATAAACTGATTTGATGTTAATCGTTCTTATAATATCGATAAGTTTCGATTGATGAGAATACTTTAAGATATAAGACGATAACAAATAAAACCGTCCGTTTGTTTTCTGCGAAAAAGTGAACTATATGTTAACTTATTTTCTTAACTAATTTGCTAAATAATGTATTAATGGACAGAAAATATATGTAATAAAAAATAAAAATATATGTATGTATCAACTTCAGATCTCCCAAATATCTAATTATGTGCGTCTCATCTTTCTCATAGTAGTAAATTATATAACATTATTTTAATAATGTTGTTTGTTGTTGAATATATGCTGTTGATATTTTGCCAAAATGCATGAGAAGGAATATCATGTGTAGAGTATTATGATAAGAACTATTACAGACATTGCTAAAATACTTCGACTTTTCAAGTCCGTGATTTCCTTTTTGCTGTCCTACAATTATATGAGAATATTCCGGCGTTATTATGAAATATATGGAACGGTAAATTTCCGATCGAAAATGAAATCTAAATCTAGCCCAAGCTTCTAACCGAACTTATCAAACTTCAAATGCGGTAGTGAATCTTACCATTTCGAAAATTGCGTGGATATGAAGAGAGGGCACGAAGGGAAGACGTGAATTTATTTGAAAAATATTTAATAATAAACATTGACAATATACAGAGAAAATACGCCATAAGAAGTCGCTATGAGATTAATAAGAACCTAACAACTGGTCCAGACTTACAAAATATCATCAAATCAGACAATGATAAAGGTGTCACGAGTCACACCTTATATTCCTATCAATATTTCGCAAATAAAGTTCATCGAGGTTGACCATATATTCTTGCTATCTCTTATACCTCTTTTTTTTTCTTTTTACTCTTTCACCGATTTGCATGAATTTCTCTTGCGAGCTCGCTATTGCATTGAACTCTCGACCCGCACAAATCGCTTATGCGTTTGAAGAGGAAATCCGCAAGGAGACACAGAGAGATGTCAACGACGTTTCTCTTTGTGGATTTCTTTTCTTTTCTTTTTTTTTTTTATACATTTGCAAGAGAAGCGAAAAAAACAGGTGGCAATTTTATCTGTTTTTCTCAGCGATCCGAACGTCACTGGGCAATTTCTTCTTCATTTGTCATTTTGTTATCTTTGTGCTACCTTATAACGATTAATTAATTCGTGCTCTTGATTTTTCACCAATTTGTGAAGAAGGGGGTACGAATTTCTCGCTCATCCGTCACGCACGCACGCACGCACACACTAACAGCACATGAACGCAGGCATCATGTCTCATATTATAGATACATTAAACTTTACACGCACGCGTTGCTAGAAATATCATTAATAATAACGTCCTAATGTCATGGAACATCCTTCATTAATTTTTTCTTGCAATAATTCGAAAAGACTGGCACGGCGCTGCCGCGTCGGCTCGAGACATTTTTCGCTTTCGGGGCGTCGGTCAAATTTATACGCTCCTCCTCGCGTCGATTCTGCGATCGTACGACAAGGACGGAGGGAAAGGGGGGAGAGATCCTCCGGCAGCGCCCTGCTCAAATACCTAGGATATGTTGCTTGTAAGATGTGTCATTATGTAGTCATGTATTCATCTAGATTCATTTAAAAATCCCTTTACGGTATTTATCGTTAATTAATCATTATACGTATAATGTACGGTGCGTATCATTGAGTTATGTTACACTGCGCGATTCCACTAGTTCTGGATCTCATCATCGACGAGGGGTAAAAATCAATCATCGGCGGAGTTGAGAATTCCGGCACGAGATCCTCGTTTGCGTCCGTCGTTACAATTCGTCAGGATAGAAGAGATATCCCCTCTGTACGTCATTCTGATCCGTATTTTAAAAAGAATTTCACGAATCCCATCTCTTTCATTTTTAAAATACGGATCAACGTTGCGGAAATGAGCCCTTCAATCCGGAAAGGAAGGTACGCTCGACGAAGACCGAAGACTAATGTGACGGTAAAGGGGAGGAGAGCGGGGGATTCGGGACCATGATACGTAAACGTGCGGAAATTTGGCAGAAGTCATTGGACTTCCTCGTAAATTATATTATCATTCTAGATATGTCGCGTTCTTTGTGGACAACATTTTTTTTGACAGCCGAAAGAATTTCCCATTAATACTCCCCGTAATTCCTTTTTCTCGCTAAATAGCAAAGTTGGAAACGAAATCCATTAACGAGGCATTCCTTTAATGTCCAGAAGGAGAAATGAAGGACACTGGAAAGACGTGAGAGAATGGAGGGTCGGGGGAAAGGGAGGGGGAAGAGAGGAGAGAGAGAGCTGATCTAGCCTCTAGATTCTATGAACATCTTGTACGATAGGCCTGCTCGCAACGGTAACGCGCACACAGAAAGGGGAGAATCGAGGAAAGGAAATTGTGCATTTGTAGCGAAGATGAGACGCGACTAAACGCGAGGGGGAGGGGAGGAGGAGGGTGGGGAAAAAAGTGTCTCGCGCGACTCTCCCGTCTCGCTAATTTGAGCTTGACTTATTACGCTAGCCACTAATAATAATAGTAACCTATCGATAAAGGTATCGATTACGAGTAAATATAAATTGTAATTACAGTGTACAATATACAGGGAGATAAACCTCGCAGAATCTCTCTTTCTCTCGTGTGTTCGCTTTCACCCCCGCGTTGGGGCTGTGCCGCGGCTGCGAAAATCTCTAGTTTCCAAACGCTCGACTTTTTTTCTCTTCTCATCTGAACCCGCGCGTACGGTTCCTTGTGCTATTCTTTCACGCGGAAAGGGATGTCTGTGTGTGTGTGTGCATCTACCGAGAAACCGACGATTCTCGCGATCCTCATCAATTTGACACTCACGTCATTCACGTCACGACGAGCACGCACACGTCACGTTCCCTGACAAAATCCGTCCCCGGTTTTTTTTTTTTTTTTACGTATTCACTGCGTAATCAGTTAATTATTCTATGTTCATTAATTTAATCTATGTTCATTAATTAATCTATGTTCATTAATTTAACATTATCATGAGAATCTCCTGATAACCCTCGAATAGAGTATCATTTTTTTTTTACTTTCTGTATAGCGCACCGGTATATCTACTCGATCAGGAAGCAGTAGTCACAAGAAAGGGATCCAGTGACCGAGAACGCCGATCTGAATAGAAACCGAGACCGAGGGCGATACATTATAAAAAACAACCATCTACGAAATAGCAAGAACGAAAAGTATATTTATATAAAAAGAGTCATGTGCGTTCGGCAAAGAATTTCCATAAAACCTTAAATGTAAATACAAATGTTATGTCTCATACACATTTCGATCAGCGAAATACAACGAAATGTCGACCCGTACGTCACAATTAAAAAAAAAAAAGGGAAACGAAAGAAAAGCGCTACGACTTAATGTCTATCCGTATCGGCGTTTTCGATTACTCGATGTATTTCGCGTACAACTAGGTCGGCATTCAGCTGGACCTAATCATCCTTTGTGACGAGAAGACGAGTTCGTATTACAGGCACGCGCGCGAGCGAACGCGCGCGTCACTTCGACATCGAGAAACCGAAACGACCTGCTGAGTATGCAATGTCCACGCTAAAGAGTTGCTCGCACGATATATTGCTTATTGCCGATTAACGGCGGTCCGAGAGTAGCGCGGACCTTTTCCTCTCTTCTTACAGCACAGTGGACAGAGCCTCGTGCGTTCGCGATGCGCCCTTCAAGATCGGTTCACGCCAAGAGACGCATTCTACAAGTCTATCTTTGTTTACGTACTATTACTACGTTCTCGTTTCATTGGCATTGAGATTCTGCGCTTAGCGATTACAAGGGTGGATTCTGCTTAAACGTTTGTAAAACGTTGTAGTAAAAAAAAGAAAATTGTCATGTTTGTTTCAGTCGCTTAACTAAATAAATAAGTGGTACACACTGGGGAGGAGGGAGGGGTAGGGTTATCGCGTGATAAACTTAATATCGAATTCTTTTCAGAGAAAAGAGGGAAGAAGCGTTGATGAGACAATATGACCGTATTTGCCGCTCTGTTATAATACACGACAGGTGAAAGGATGCGATGAAATTGCCGTGCGGGATTCCTCGTGTAACTTAATGTTGTGAAAATTAAGTCTGCGGATCTCAAATTCAGTTTCGAAGTTCTAAAATTGAAACGGATCTTTGTAGCCGTTTTTTCTGTAGATCCCTCAAAACTTTTGGGTCATTTGATACAAGATGGGTACGTCGGTTTACGGTATGTTTGATATTTCAAAAAAATTATAAAAACAATACATTATACATGAGACAGTTCGAAATTGTGCCAATTGTGTTTGGAAATACGTTCAAAATTTTCTAAAATTGTAACTGTAATGTCCGCAAATAGAGCGTACAAAATGAGATTTCAGTGTCGAGACCCTGAATTGTAGGAGATAAATGAAGATCAAAAATGCGTTATCGCAATCGAGAAATCGATTTGATTAGACCCTGCGCAATTAGAATTCGGTATACTGTTTCAGTGGTGCAAGCGATTCTTGTCCCTGTCTTCTTCCGTTCTTTCTGCTACTCCTCTAAGTTTACTGAGAATTTTGGTTCGCAACCTACGCATACACAACACACGCGCGCGCAAAAGCGCATACACACACATATTTGGCATAGAAACCCTACCGGTCACGTGGATGCTTTTATTTCTTTCTAGGTCGTTTTTTTTTCTTTTTAACTAGCTACCTAAAGATCTCGTTTTTTTTTTTCGGATCACCTCGTGTCGGCTCGTGTCGACTGAAATCGTCAATGCCTCGCTGCCATGGCAGAAAACATCTCTATATACTGTAGGAAAGTATACTGTGTCATTTGCGGTAGTTATTCATTCAGTAATCGCGCGTTTGCGCTCATCTTAATTCCATCATCTAAATAAATTGTGTGCGTAAAATTGTTCTACAATATTTGTGCGAAATATTTAGGACTCCGTCGACTCGGCGGTCACCTCGAATTATTTTTAACACTATCTGCTAATTTAGACTATGAATGCAAATTGTATTGTGCAATGTTGACTTAAACGGAAATAATTACAACAAATGTACAGCTATATTACAAAGTATTTCGGTAAATTGGCAAACTGCATGAATCATGCATCGTATCGGACATAATATCACAACATTAATGCGTTTTACAGAAAACTATAAACATGAGAGAGAAAAAAATATAACTACTATTCCATTTAGTGGCCCGTGAAATTGTTCGCAAGATTAAAACGCTCGGTATCGTATTAAATGTGCCGACAAGAATATATACGACAAATATATATAGAAAAAACGTGAAGGTGTTATCGAAAATAATTTTGTGCGGTAAAATTCGAAAGTGCGAGAAGCAAGTGTGCCACTAGTTTTATTTCAATTTCAACATTTGAAAATTCAGTTCAAATTTGCTCGGACCGATTGATCGAATGGAAACGGAGAACGGGATAGAAGACTCTCCCCTGCGAATAGCTGCTGGCAGGGGAGAGACTTTAGAGGCGACTTAGAGGCGACTTCCGGCCGAACACGACTCGACACTTCGATGCGCCGACCTCGACGCTGCCGTTGCATTTACAGATCGATTTTTCTCGCCCAATTTCAATCGTCGTTCATACAATTCTCGAAGGTACTATTTGAAAGATTTGATGTAGACGGTGCTTTTCGCTAGTTTCACGTTAACAGTAGTCTCCTGTTCGGACGATTTCTCGATGTCGAGGATGTCAGCGGTGTTGTCACGATAAAAACCGGCGAGTCAGCATGCGTGGGAAGGGTCCAGGCTCGTCGTCTCGTGGGTGATCTCGAAGATGGCAAAAATGACAATGATGATTGTGTCGACTTGCGTCTGGTCATGTTCTGCTGAGTATAACTTGGAAGGCTCTCGAGCTCTTGCTACTAACGATCCATTTAGTATGGCGTAAACCTGTTGTAGCCACCTCGGTATACCGTTGCCTGCAAAAATAAAAATACATGAGATACAAATCTTGGCGTGAGATATAATACGCCAAACTAACGTGACTAAACCGTCGCGGTGTCGCGGCGTATTTAGCATTAAACGTAACCATTTGCTTTTATGCGCCGCGGCCGAGACGGCTCTCTTTCCTAACGCCTCTTTCCATTCTAATGGCGTTGCAGTCCAAATCGAGCTTTGGCACCTACTGTTCTCTTCATATACCTGCGTGGTGCGCACGCTGATTATATATACAGGCATATGCGACCTACGGTTTGCAGACCGATTCCGAACGGTTGCAATTTTGAGAGAGGTTTTCGCGACGAGGGATACCTCCCGGTGGTCCTTCTCCGGACCTCCGGAGAAGAGACGCAAGCGTATGAAAATCTGTCCGGTTCTACCGGAAATCGAACCCGGGATCTCTGGCATAACAGACCAGTGCGCTGTCTGCTCCGCCACGCTCAACCGTCGTTATTTACGACATAATAACGGATGGGTGGCTCCATTCTCCACCCCATACGGATGGCGGTGCCCGCGTGGGGGAGATCTACGCGCGCGATTTAACGGCATGACTTATACCGTTAAATGAAATCGTAAAAGTACATCTCGTAATCGAAGCTCTCTTCTTACTTACCCCGTAACCCGCCACAGGTCCGATGCCATGTCCGAGGTAGGGATCGGCGTATTCACGCCCGTAGCTGGAAGGACAATAAAAAAAAAGGAGCGATTTTAATAACCGTGAGATTTTCCGCTTCGTTGAAATCGAATTCATACCCGCGTATTCACTTATATAAAACTTCCGATTTTCCCCGCTGTCTTCCGCGAGGAAGATCGAGAGAGGAAATTGAATGAAAGATGAGAAAAACGCGACGTACGGAATGCGTTTGGGTATGAAATCGATTTTAATACTCATATTTTGTACTTGATATTCCTCTGTTTGCGCTGGATGCAAAGATACCGATGTGATAGCGGCGTTAAGCGCGCTTTAAGGTTTCTCGGGGAGTGTGTCTGGACTTTCGTCGGGACTGTCGGGACGGGTCTGGATTTCGGGAATGTATTTGCGACTCCTAAGAGCTCGTCCGCGACGTCGGGATTTGCTGTAAGGAACGGACTTGTCGTGTTAGAATTCTGCTGATGTGTAACTGATAATTCTTCTCTTTCGAAGAATTAGTATTGAAGGCTGAAAGGGGGATGTGAGAAGAACGTGGAGGTTGCCGGCAAATATAAAGGAAGATGCTGATAGTGAACATCGTCAGGGATAGCGAGACGAAGGCAATTCATTGCGATGCTCAATGCACGATGTACGTACATTCACCTCGACCTCACTCTCGTAACGGGGGCGAACCGATGACTTCAAAGCGTCCCCGAATCTATACATGTGTATCTGCGTGTCAGTAGGAGACTGCATACTGACCACAGCTATGATGGGAGAATCATGGGCTCTTCATATCGATAATGAAGACAATGTGCGTCGTAATTCCAAATGTGCCGAGTGTGCGTGTGTGCTGTTACGAGAATGAACTCGGGATGTACTAGTATTAAACATGTGAACATTCCATCTGATATTAATGAATTATAATTTATTCAAGTTGTTATACATTTTTTAAGAATGCAAGAATTGTCACATATTTTTCTCATTGTATAACTATTTTTCAAAATGTAGAATTACGTAAAAAATAATAAATGTAATGTACATATTAAAAAAATATTTATGCAATGAGAAAAATGTATGACAATTTTTACATTCTTAAAAAATACATATATTGTAACAACTCAAATAAATTATAATTTATTGATATTTATTGAATTTTATTGAATATTTTTTTATCTTTATTGAATTTTGCACGGACTTCGTTTCAACAAATTTTTGATTAAATAAGATCAGCGGTAGGTATATAATTTAATATTAAGTTTCACACTCTCACAAAAAAAAAACTGGCTCCAGTTTTGTTAAATAATCCGTAGGTGGAAGCTGGCTCGCTAAATCTGGGACGTTCTATATCAAATGTGAAGGAGAGAAGGAGGGAGAGAGGGGGAGAGGAGAGAGAGAGAGAGAAAAAGAGGTCCTGGAGGATTCGTGGTGAGTGAGAGTACATACACGGGGGTTTCTCGGGTGAAAATGTGGTGCACTTACCCCGCGACTGCGGCATATCCTGCGACCGGTTGTGCCGCAGCTGCAGCTGCGCCGTATGCGCGCGCAGCCACCGCCGTGTAGGTTGCTGCAGCTGCGTACGTAGCCTGCTGTGCCGTTGATAGTGGTGTCTTCAACAATGGTGAAGCTGCGGCTGCGGCTGCCGCGGCCTGAAACAACAACCATGACCCGCCATGCAAGGCTCAAGCAAGCTCGAAGACAGACAGAGAGGATGATCTCAGCGAGAAACGATACTATAGTAACGATCGTTCCTAGAGGCTCGTGTCGTTGCACACAGAAAACGTAGCTCTAACTCCACGAAAAATGACAATTGCGATGGGAAAAGGGGCACAGAACAACAGAAAGAACATTCGGAAAATGTATCAACTCAATTTATAGCCATTATCTATGAAACTGCAATTCTACAAATATCCAAACTCAAATAAAAAAATAAGTGTGCACTCCTTTTCCAATCTCAATTAATCAATGTCATCCACTTAAATACGAAAGAAGTAAAAAAAGTTTTAATCAAGAGTGACTTATCTGTTCTATAAATATCTGATTTGTATCAATAGAATACAACTGTGAAATGATTGCATTAGGCATGTGTAATTTTGCTTGTAGTAAAAAAAATATTTTAAGACTTCTAAATAACTAAAATTATATGAACTACAATTTCGACGTTAACAGAAACCACGAGCAATCATTTTCTTTGCCATGATTCTAAAATATTCTTTTTCTACGCAATGTTACACATGTTTTGCAGCCTTACTAAATCTTGTTATATATTTTTAATAAAATTAATATTTCAAAATTTATTTATTTCACATTTATTTGAAGTTTCGACAATAAACTTTCGAAATAAATGGAATGTACTACTATCTAACTGTTTGCTAACGTTTTCTATGTGCAATTACTACGTGAAACGCATCAACGTCGTTCGTTGCGACATCGATAGAACAGCGAGATGCAACAGCCGAGTGACATTTTCAGGCTTGAATATATACAAAAAAAAAAAATATTGTCGAAAACCCTTGCATCGCATTTCTCTCGCTGTTTTAAAAATGTCAGTGCATGGATATTCAAACATTTCGAGCATATAACTAACTGTGACACTCGAAGCTGTATTTTATACAAGCTTCGAAAGGGATATTTTATTTACAAGGAACATGATCTGGTCTGGAAACTGATATTCAATTTCTTTATGACATCAAGCGACTATATTATCGAATATTTTGCAATAATGCAAACATTCCACTTTCTAATTATGAATCCTAAAATACAGAAACGTAATAAAAATAAAAGTTCTTCATCCTTTACTAATTTCGAAATTTTTCGTACACATTAAAATGTTGAAATGGGAAAATTATACTTCCGAAATTCTTTCATAAATACTTTTTCTTTGTTTCATAAATAATCGTGGATATTGAAACGAAAAAAAAAATGGCGAGATGTAAAAATGTCATGCAACATGAAGATTTATGAAAGTAGCCACTGTGCAAGATAAAAGATTTTAAAACTACAGATATACGAAATAGAAAAGAATTGAGATGACGAATCCTTTTTATTCACTCTCGACGCAGGCCTGACCGATGGAAAAGAAAACCTTTCTAAAGTACCTTCCAAAGTAATCTCGAAAATACTTTTACTTAATTAATTCAGAGTATAGGACGGAGTTTTGTTTCGACAATGAAACGATAGAGACGAAGCGTTAAGAAAAAATTCCTAATAAACAACAATAAATAATCGCTCCGATCTGTCGAGCGTGTCGACCATGTGTTGTAACTATTGTCGTCTCCGGGCCAATAAGTAAACTCACTCGAGTGAGTCTCGCGTTGAAAGGGTCGTCCCACAGTTACGTAGCTGGAAATAACTATACGATGTTTAAACAGCGAACCCCCACAAGTGTTTACACGTACAGCATCGAAATCTCGCTCGACGCACGAGGGGATTTATGCCCGATGAAGATAGGGCTGTTGAGCGCACCCACTCATTGGCGCCGGGATGATGGGGTGGGAAGGCCCTACGTGCATCTAGGATGCGCAATCCGATACGCCGTGGTATATGTATTCCATTAAGCGACAACGTAACACTCGCGCGCGCTCAGATGCTCGCGATTTCCATGACATTTCCATTCGCGCGTTTGACCTAAACGCGAATGCAGTTTGCTCGAATACCGTCGAGTCAAGAGTGCATCCTGAAAGCCTGGGGGGGGGGGGATTAAGTCTCCGTTTTAAGCTCGATCAAACCGCATAGTTAATTTACCGTAAAATTATATACGTAATCTTGCGCAATGCTGTAAGAGACACGCGATATCTACTTTATAAATAGCATTTATACCAGTAATTATAGCTGAACATTGTATTATACGTGTTCTATTAATAAATAATTAACAGAGAGAGAATATAATCATACTACAATAATGAATTTACATCTGTATTATATTACCTGAGTGTGACGGAAATTTCTATTTTTTTCTCGTGAATTTTATTTAAACTTCACGTAGCCGAATATTTTTACAACAAAATTTAAGATCAAATAGTAATTAATCAAAAATCGCCACGCGCATATATTTGCAAGTATAACAAATCAAAATTCCATGCAAATTATGTAATTGCTAATATATTATGTATAATTTAATGTTAGCTATTCAACGAAACTTTACTTAAATATTAAATAGATGAATTATCATTTCATTACATCGATATAAACACAAAGAGCGATGATGTAAAAGGAATATTACAGCATACTGCCAGTCATAATTTCGAAATGTCGAGCATTATTATATCGTCCGTACATTGATCAGTAGAAACCATTATTTCGTAATTAATGAAGGAAAACGATGCAAATATATATTCCAAGAATTTCTGGATACTAAATCTGATTGTTTGCAGTTATGATGGAACACATCATGGTCTATAATATCAATTCAAAGTCCGATAGTAAAACTTGTTCAGACACTTGAAAATTAAAAAGCAATGTGACTTTTAATAAAAATCTGAACTTTATTTGATTTAAATGAAAACATTCTCATTGAATGACGAATACCTCGGCACGGTCAAAGAATTTAGATGAAAAGAGAGTAGAATATTCTGGGCAGTGTGCGCCGGATTAATAATGCAGACGGGAAATACAATTTTTTGAATAGAGCCGCTCGTAGTTCCGCAAGAACGGCAGACCGTTATCGGGCGTTCAATAATTTTTGACATCGCGGACGAATAACGGGCTGCAAAAGCAGCGCGAATTGGCTCGCCGGCTCGCGTATCGCGACGAAAACACGATTTAGTCGGCGCCAGAAACTTTCGGCGGTCAGCAACGGGTTGTTATTCGACGTTTTGTCACGAAAAAAGGCAGCGAGGGGAGAGAGCGGGATGGGGAGGGGTAACGCGGCGAACGAGAGCTGTTTTGCCACCAGGAAGAAAACAGGACGGCGTATTGAAAGCGGAGCAAGAGGCGCCAAGTTGCTCCGCAAGTTGCTTTCCTCGAGTGAAATTTCGTTCTGGAACTGTGTTCAAAATACGCGGAGAATTTTTCGTCAAAGAGCGACGACGACTCGATTCTACTCGCGGCAAGAATTACGTGATCCCTCCAACGCGTACGATCGCGTAATGATTCGCTTTCGATGAGATATCGTCGGAAACAAGAGGACGATAATTCCTCGCGAATCCAATTTCCGGGAGCAACCGACTGGAAGTGCCGAGATCGTGGCAAAAAACGGTCCTGTTGTCGCCGCGCGAGACTGGTGATTATAGCTTTTTATCTCGTAGTCACAAGTCGATTCAGCGCCTCGCTGTGGTCGGACTCGCGAGTACTCTTTTTTTTTTCGCGTCGGACCACCATACTCTTTCTCGCGCTTCGTACCTTTCGTCCGAGAATGACCTGTTAAACGGCGCAACCGCAGATGCGAAACCTCCGTTTACATTGTGGTGCAGGTGAAACGCTTAACAATTAAATCCTAACGGCGACGAAGGTCGCCGAATGTAAGCTTTGCTTAGCGTTTCGACGCACCAAAGATAATAGCTTCCGTAATGCAAAGAGAATATAATTGTGTGATCGCTCCTACATACGTATTATCAATTTTAGAATATTATTGATAGCAGAAAAGTATAACAAATATGCTATATCAGTTATTTTGTACTTTTATTATTTAAAAATGTTATTTATCAATATTTGCTATCCTTCAAACAATAAAGTTTTTAATAAAATTGACTATAATCTAATATCTTTATTTTGAAGCGCGTATTGGCAAACATTTTACGTTGCGATAATAAAAATTACATCTTAGCATGTTTAATCGATTTTAATAATTGGAGACTGTATAAAATTACAAAATTTTGAAGAAAGTCTGGTCTTCTTTCCTTCGGATTACTTCAATTTTCCATCTCTTCGCGCCTTTTTTCTATTTTTTTTATCTTTTATTAGCGTTAAAGCATACACTAACAAGCTAAAGATAAAAGTCCTAATTTTTATTCGCAACTGTAAAAATATCCGGTAGATAACAAGAAGCCTAGAACATCTTTTACAGTACACAAATATATACGATCTCTGTATACCTATATTATTCGCTGACTGAAAGCTAGCTACAAGTCCGACGAGTCCTCAATTAAGGTAACGAAAAGACTTTCGAAATATTTCACGGATACGGGTATTCAATTCCCCTGGAAAAGAAACGCAAATTAAACCGATGCGGACCGAACTAATTATCGGACCGAAGTTAAATAAGCCGAACATTTTAACCCTACCCGCGAACTTTCTGCTACTTCCAAAGCCGAACTCGAATTTCTCAATGTTGCTCAGCGGTTGCTGTACACATTTAACTAATGTACAATAAGTAAAAATATTTACCATATTTATTCGTATTTTTATAGTAATATGTGTAATAGTCTAACATAATAAAATAAAATAAAGAAGTAAATTCATTACAAGAGTGTAAGATTAAATTTCTACGGAATTGAACGAATTTATAGATTACAATTGTTATTGTACATACACATACACAAGTCTTTCCCTTTAAAGTCTAGATCTGACATTTTATGATTTAATTGCGGACTGTGATCACAATTCCAAAAAGTGATTATTGTACTCAAGATATATAAAATATATGACAAGCTGCCATATGTTTTTATATAAATCCAATTTGATATAAATTGTCTATATTGTGTCCTGATTATATCCTTTAAATTTAAATTTTACAATTAACGTCTTTCAAAAGAAGAGAAAGTGCAGAAAATTCCTACGTATAAACATCTAGAATATATGGCCCGATTTCGTGCTGTGTGCCGTTGACATTTAACACGCGAATATCCTCGCGCGGATCCGGCCGGGATGAACCCGTCAGTCGTTAAATGACGAGTGTTTCTCGATGACGTTGATTTACGGCGGTCTCTCGACAAAGTCGAAGAAGAGGTTGGCAATTGGGCCGACTCTGTTACGCAGACGGCTCGTAAATTCTCGCACGGACGAGGCTGCTCCGCCAACGAAAATGACACGCGGCTGACGTGGTCTTGTGCTGGCCGTCGAATTCGTAGATTGTGCCCCCGTCTAAATTAGCCGCGAAAAATTCTCAGCGCGCGCCTAGACAATTTATGACCCCAGCTCGTTTGAAGACACCCTTCACGCTTTCCGATCACGGAATTCTCGCCGAACGCGAGAACCCCGTTTTCCCATTTAGCGTCAACAAACATCTCGTTAGTCGTTTTTAATTATTATTTACGTGCACGATTCGCCACTAAGCTCGTTTTTATACACGCCTTCGATGAAAGAACGATTTATTTAATACCCATTTCCGATAAGCTACTTACAGATCATACGAGATAGCGACGAGAAAGCAATATTTATACGCCGCAATTTTTATACGCTGTTTGATGTATTCTTCATTTTTAATGTTTAATAAAAATAAACATTTATTTATTACAGTTATTTCGCTTTAGCTAAAGCCGACAGTAATTTTCTAGTAACTCGAACATCGCCGTCGTTGCTTCGATTCTCTAAGGCTGAATTTTCTCTTACAGAATTTGTGCGAAAATTCCTGGCGCTTCGATATCTCCTGATATATTGATAATAAATTTCTTCACAAGGGACATGAAAATTCCTGAAGCAATATACCTCGACGCCGGGACATTCATAATACAAGGCGCTTGCGCAACAACATCATGATATCGGAAGACTTTTGAGATGTCTGCCAGCGATGCTCTCGTAAAGTGGTTACTCGTGCGTATAATGCGTTCAACAAATGGTCATTGCTCAGTGACTCAGAACTACAAAACGGTCCCCGCTTTGATATCTACTGGCTTCAGTATTTACGACTGCATTATATAATAAGAGTATTATTTGCTTAAATTTTGTAGTAGTTTCAGTATAAGACAATCTACCTTAAAACGATGCATTATTTAAAATCATCATGTTGATCTCCAAAATAAATTCTAGATACATCATCAAAGCTTAGTCCGTTTCACCCTTTCTCGCGATATTTGTATCGCGATGTGACACAACAATGTAATAACATACAAGTCGCGTGTATTTCAGAATATCCCTTCCCCCATAATCAAAGCATTCGTTTAAAAATATACGAATCCTCGTATTTAAAAGTCTAGAATTCTGGATAGATTTCTATTAAAAATTCCTAATTTTTTTTACAGTTGAGTGTCAAGAAATATACATCACGTGGAGTGTTTAATTTAGCTACAACACCATATAATTAAAGTACGAATCCAATGGTACGGCTATACCGTCTACCTTAGCGTAGCTTTCTAAATCACACGAAACCTGCCTACGCCACTTTGTCTACTTGGTCCGCAAAAGTACAAAGCTCCCTCAGAGTTGAGGAACTCCAAAAACGACACACTTATAGTTGCGTGCATTTATCAACAAAATGTTTGCTCCACTTGTATAGGCCTCCTACGACGTATCTCTAGGTCTGTGCGACGCATGCTCTACTGACTGAAAAAGGCGACATTACATGCTGTCTTCACGCTAAATATCAATCGAGGATCACAGAAAAGGAACAAAAAAAAACAAGAAACGCAACGGAGGAGAAAAACCTCGTCAGCTGAAACAGCTCTTCTACAGCTCCCCTAAACGACCTTCCATCGCAGGAAAAGTTACAGCGAGATTTTCATGGAAGGGAGGATCTTTTTTTTTTTTTCAGCAAAGAGCGGATTGGGAACACGTTTAACTAAGTAGTCGCCGACAATCGGTGAGCACTTCAATCTTGCGAACAAACGGAAACGTGAAAAGAACAAAGAGAGAACAGACTGAATAAAACAGAAGAAGAAAGAGAGGGATGTATGTATAGATAAAACAGACGAAGAAGACGAGAGAAGAACAGGCGGACCCTTAATTCCTACCTCCAGGGCGGGCGCTTTAGCCTGAAACACAAACGGCAAACCTGAAAAGAAATTCCGGAAGGATACCGTACGGCGGAAAAACTCGAGCTCGAGTTTTTACACGAGGGAATTAAGCCCTCGTTTTAAGTGAGTTAAATCCGCCTCCCCCTCCCCAACGCCGTTCCCGATGCAAACGCAAAAAAATGTGTACGATCGACGCGCGTTAGTGTTATCCATCATTCACTTTTTCTTTCGCTCATCCCCGTGATTGTATGTGTCGTCGATTAATAATCATCCCTTTAAACAACAGAAGATTGACGGGAGAAGAATATAAAGGGGGAGAGAAAATGGGGACAAAAATGACGCGGAGGTGGATGGAACAGTGCATAAAGATGCATTTAGGCAACAAGATGCAACAAGATGCCGCGCAATTGAGAGATGGCAGAGTAACTCTCGTATAAACGAAAAACGCGAAGTTTGTCTCGAGATTGTAGGTCCTAAATAAATCACAAATTAATCCGATAGTTATACATTATAATGTAGCGCGTTCGGAAAGTTTAATATTAAAAAGTGCAGCTTCTAAACTTTACTGTCTGCATTCTTTTCTTGTTGAAAATTTGGGAAGAAATTTTTTATCAAATCACATTAAAAAAATAATTATAATCACTAAAAATGTATAATAAAAATTATACGATTCATTCAGTGTTTCTGTAATTTTCGATATAATTTTCATCAAACTAAATTTCTTATTAAAGACAATTTCTTACTAATTATTAATGCAATTGGAGCTAAAAGAATTGAAACGCCGTTGACAATAGTTTGTTATATGTAGTTGTAACTGTTGAGTTCGAAATTGTTTTTCGACGAAAAAGCTAATTTCAAATCGAACGTCATCAAAACGGCCGAATGTAAAATCCATTCACGCGGGAATGGTGTCAGAGAAACCGAGGCATCATCGGGGCAGAAATAATCATCTTGGCAGTTAGTAGTGCTCGCTTTTTTTTCGATCAATCGTGCCGTCGGATGCATCGGGATTTTTACGTGAACGAAACGAAAGAGAAAGAGAGAGAGAAAGAGGAGGAAAACGAAAGAGACAGGCGAAAAATGAGATACAATGAGAATGGCGAATGATCGGAACAATGTAGAACGCGAGATAGGGATGGCGTAATTGTTATCGGTTTCTCTCTCGGCGTTCTCTCGTGTGTGCAAGCCTGGCAAAATGTGTGTCAACTAACGTCAGCTGTTGCTTGAGGCCATTCCAGCTAAACGGGTCCACCAAGAGATTACGGGACTTTAGTCAAAATCTCTGCGCTCATTTGTCTCGTCTTACAGATACTGCGCCGCATTCCGCTTCCGGTGCACGTGCAAATAAGCGTTTTCCGTTTGCTCTTCCGAACGGGCCACATGCATTCGAGAATATTTTGGGCTTGCAAAAAGGCGGTTAACGTCGTAACGACCGTGATATTACGAAATCTTACAAAATTTTTTGAATGCTATTATTAATAGTTATGAAAGAGATACCTTAATATATGTAATAAAAATACAATTTTTGAAGATAAATTTGAAGAAGAAAGTAACCAAGCCTTATTTCTCTGTTAATTACGCGAATAGATTTTATTCAATAATATATTTATATTTAATTATTTAGATATTTAGAATTTAGACGACTCTCGCTGAAAAATACTTTCTTCTGACTATCATTGAAAAATTAACTACAAGAAAAAATTTGTGAAAAAAATCTATCAGTAAAGTTTTATCGAATGCGTGACTCCCGACACCACAGTAAGTTTGCGTCGAGAGCGCTTTGTATCGATTCCATCGGCGACGGTCCGCCGATTGCCCGATTAATTATGTCCGCTCGATGTCCCGTCCGTGTAGCGCAACATAATGAAAACGCGTCAACGCTCGCGAGGGTTTGTTTTCCGATTAATAGCCGATTATCAGTCGGCGATCGCGACGTGATTGATTATCGCGCGCCGTTTCCATTTAACCGGGCGCGCGCGCCTCTCTGACCCTCCGCCGTGTTCTTCGATTTAATTAAAAACTCGTTGGAGTATATTCCGTGTCTCGATGGCCGCGCAGCTATCTCTCGCCCAGTGTCTGCGGTCTCGCGTGCACCGGAAGCGGGAAATAATCGTCCGCGGGAATTAATGGAAAATCGAAAAATGTCTCACCTGCAACCTGTAGTTGGGATCCTGCGTCGCTGCGTGAGCCGCGAGGAAGGGGTCGTAGTAAACACTGAAAAAAGTAAAAAAGCACCAATGAGTAACGCGCAACGGCTTATCCGCTTGTCCGCCACTGCGTCCGTAGGGATTACCGAATTTTCTGATTTTACGATTTCTCTCCCTGGGTGAAGTGTAATTAACGTTACAATCCGCGCGTCCAATTATTTTCATTTAAAAAGATTTAATACCCCTTTCATTTACATTTATATCGCTTTTGAAAAAAAAAAGTTTTGCAAATTTAACTGTGCCCGTGTATTTTGCGCGCAAAATATTTATAAAGACTTCAATATTGAATACGACAGGGACATCCGGTTAAAAGCTGTCACTTCAAAGAACCTTTAATCTTCCGATTCAATAATGCACAACGCTCGTTTAATAGACGTCGCGTATTAAACATTGCGTTCGGTCGGGAATAAAATTGGAAATTTATTTCTGGGATACGATAATCCCTCGCTTTGCGAGGATAACGCCGGGATGACAGAGGCGATAAACTTTGTCTCCCCCCACCCCTTCCCGCCCCGGGAAACGAAGTTTGCTTTATGCGCGAAGATCATAAATTATGCCGAGGAAAAGGTTGATTGCTTTATATTGCGTCCGCACAGAAGCATTCGCAATGGAATTAGTTTTATGAGTAGCTCGCTCCCATTATTATTATTCTCGTTGGAGGAGATCGTTGTTAAAAGTCTATTTAACTTGAGTAAGTAATAATCTTGTTTTAAGAGAGCCGGAGTAGGAAAAAAAAGCTTGTTGACTTTATGGGATACGAATTCGCGCTTCGTTTTGACTGCACGCTGTCAGGAATGAAAAAAGTTGCGGGACGAAGCACTATTATCGCGTGTACACATACGGGACATTTCCCGTAAAATGCGAGCGCAATTTCAAGAGTGAATTCAACGTACTGGTAACGATTAAAAAAAAAACGCACATTCAACATTCGTTCTGTCCGACTTTGTTTAACGCTCTTAAATACTACCTTTAGATCCACGAAAAACGTAAGTAATCGAAGACGGTGTACTATTAGGAATATATATATATATATATATATGTCTAGCAAATATTTGTTGGATAAAAACCGTGCTGCCTTGTTTTATCAATATTGAATTCGACAAGAATATACATCATTTCTATATTATTTACGTATCTTCGTAAGTATAATCAAGTTTATCGACAATATTTTGAATCCCTATACCGTTATTATTATTATACGAATAAAAAAAAAATTGTCACTGTATCGTGTACGTCGGAAACTATCGACTGCTCTTGTAACGAGAGCGGACTTTCCAGACCATCGCGAAAATATTTACAAGTATACAATAAGACATTTGAGATCAATGGGACAATATATGTGGCAACCTAGACCCAGTTCATATAAAGTTTTATGCCAAAAATTGGATTTGAAATGCAAAAAAAAAAAACTGTAACTCGAAAACAAATCAGATAGGATAAATATACTTATGCTTGAGCTCTTATTTAACTGTTTTCGTTATTTTTCTGTACATAAAATTCATTCTTAAAATTATATGAATATTTTATTAATATTATACGTAGATGTGGCAAGTACTACGTCTATAATATGAATATTTTATTAATCTACTGTACTTTATATTTATTTAGAAAGTAACTTGTTAATGTGTGCCCGGCGTAAAACGATGTGCGCGGATTCAAGATAAAACACAACGTCATTTTCTTCTCTATAATCTGCTTCATGTTAATAATTTGAATTTACAAATGAAACGACACGGGCTTTAAATTAAAATGCATAACATGTATATACACATATATATGTAGATATTGGACTTGACAAATCCGATTTCGCGGCCGGGGCGTGCATCGATGTAACAGGCTTCGAAGATTGATTTTCGTCCGTATTCAAATTTTTCATTCCTGCCAACGCCATGTCCAATTCCGTAACGTTAAAATGAACGAACGATTGACGGTTCGACGCGAATGCTTGCTTCTAAAAATCCGGAATGATAAAAAGTTCAAAAAAAAAAGAGTAAAAAGAGATAAAGTGTCTACATCCTACGATTTTTGATTTTTAATGGAAAAAAAATAACGCGCGCGCGCGCGATCGCCGCGACACGATAATCCGCGCTGATCCGACAGTCGCGTTTTAATCTTCTAATCGGTCAAAGTGCAGTTGGGCGGAATCGAATCTTTTTTTTCTCTCCCGGGCGTGCCTCCTCTTTGATCGTCCTCGGCAGGGAAGCAATCGAGCGTCCTCCCGCGTTTTCCCGCTCGTTCTAAGTCTCCGTTTTTTGGCGAGAAACGAGCGAGCCGCGGGCCGCTCTTTCTCTCTGTCGCAAATTATAATCCGCATTGTGCGCGGGGGTTACACGGGAGAGCGTTTGCGGGAGATGGGTTTAGGAAGGTATAGACACATGCAGTGTGCAAACGCAGTGAGATTGACAGGCAAAGCCTTAACGAGCGACGCGTGCGAACTCATTGCAGCGAGTAATTTTCCCACCGATATCGTTTTCGATATCACTCGACGATCTTCGACGCGCGATAAAGTGATGGAGTGTACATGTTCAACGATATATACTCCCGCAATTCAGTCGCAATACAGTTTTAAATGAGCGTTATCGACCTGCGAGTCATTAAAGTTCTTTACGCCAATCCGATCATTAATATCCGTGAAAAATTAAATTTTCTAAATAAGCGGCTAAAATTTTTGGCAAGGGATTCATAAAAGTAGAATCCGATTGCTGATAATAAGATAATAATTTTATGGAAAATGTAATTTGTATCTTAAAGTTGGAAAGAAGGATCCTTCGATCAGATTAGATGCAAACAAAAAGTTTATGTATCGTATGTTGTATCAAAAATAAATAACATAATTAGTCGGAAAACGCGATCTAACGGTTTAAACTCACGGGTTAAGTTTTATCGCATGGAAGAACTAGTGGCGTATAAATCACGCTAACTACGTAAGTACTGATCGTTAAGAAGAAAAGGGCTATCGCGAAAAAGTCTTTGGAAACTTTAACGACGCGCACGCACCTCTTTCACACCCCGGCGGGTACGTAAATTAATTATCGTCGTTACACCACACGTCCGTCTTTTTTTTTCTTTATCGCCCGACGAACCCTCTCGCGAAAGTTTCGTAAACGCGAAAAGTACTTTCCGAGGTGTGCTCTTGATTACTCGCTGCAAGAGAAATTTCACCAAGAGGATACGTACAAAAGATGTGAAACAAGCGGGGGAGCACAGATAAGACAAGTCCTTTTAAGATGGCCGGTCTGGACCACATAGAAGTATTCCCATGGATCGAGATACGTGCTCTATTAACGGCGTTTATGTTTCGTTGAAAAAGCACAGAAAGCTCGTAATGAGTCGACGAAATATCACAGCTTCTGATAGTCCGAAACGTGCGATATACTGATTCGCATTATCTCCCACCAATTCGAGATCGGCTCAAATTATCGCAAAATGCGCCACGTACATGATCCAATTTAATTTAAGACACCCGACATTAGAACGCCGCTTAACAGAGTACTCTCTCTCTTTCTCTTTCTCTCCACCGAGTACAGGGAATACCTTCTCGTCGTCCGGTTGAACGCCGGTTAGACGCAACCTGACCTGGCCCAATACTTACGCGGGTGCGAAGGGGTGCAGGGCCGTGGCCGCAGCTGCAGCTGCAAGTGGCCCCGGATTCCTGGCCAGCGCTAGGGCGGCCGCGCTGGTTGGAAAAGTCGTCCTCGCCGCTCCAACTCGGCCGCGTTGTATGGCGACTCCTCTAAGCGCCGCAGCTGCAACAACACACACGCGACACGCGCGCACATGCACGATTAACACAAGGTCGCCTACCTTGGACGCTTACGTTGCTATATCGACCACACTCCGTGGGACTCCAGGTTGCTCCTTGAGGAAACCGCGGCGCACATCGATAGCCAGGCGAGACGGAGATTCGCGGCTTGATTTTCATACTCCTCCCCCCTGCCCCCCCCTCCCCCGGTTACGAGACTCAGGATCGATATTCCGCCTGGGAATTAGCTCGTCGAACATTTTCACTGTCGCGAGGGAATTTGCGGGGCAAAAAGTTTCTAGAGCATCTAGAAAATTTTTATTCGCCGATCAGTCAGCACGTTCGACAAACTCGTACAAGCGTAATATTAATCTAAGGATCGTTTTGACTGAGTGTTCCCTTTCCATCTGCGGGATATCCGCACCTCCTCATCTTGTCAAATTTCGATAGTTTTTTAATGAGTTTCTACAATTAATTTTTTCTTTCAGAAAACAAAGAAAAATTCATTCTTTTTCATCACTTAAATTTTCTAAATAATTACTTTAATTATTTAAGAAATAACATTTTCGTATTAATTTATGTACCTTTATAATTTAATCCGTTAAAAGTTCAAGCTTTTTAAACTTTTATTATTGAAAAGTTAATTCAAAATTATAATGAAAATTTAATGTTGAGGTGAATATAATAAAAGAGAGGAAAGGTAACTGACTGAAGTTGGAATAAAAGATCCCCCTTTTTTAATGTGCTTACAGCACGAACGGTGCAAAAATAAAAACAAGCACGATTCACCGACAAACGTATATCTGACCCTTGCCAGCGCAGAGGAAGCTTTCGATTCAAGAGAAGCTCTGCGGCACGAGCAGGAAATTTTGTTCTTCCTATCAAAGATTGGCTTTCGGGAATTGCGCCCGAGAAGTAAATACGAACATCGGAAAACACCGGAGAACCTCGCGGCGTAAGAAAAGAAGAGGATGTGGCGGAGCGAAGGGAACTTCGGGAGAAAACTGAAAATAGAAAAGTTCGCTTCCTCCGCTCCGCTTGTATTTGACACTCGGGAATGGCTCGGAGGGAAAGAAACGGCGCTGCGAAACTTCGCGAAAACCGAATTCATCCCGGGGAAAACTGCTCTTTTACGAGTAGATCAATTTTTCAGCGCGTTTTATCATTGTGATCTGCTCGCGACGGGTCGCTACAATTTCTTTCGGCGGATAACGTAAAGAGGATGGCGATTTCCGCGAGGTGGCGGAAATCGGAATTCTCGTGCTTCGAAGTTGAAATCCTCAGTGCTTCGACGAGGAACAGTGCCAGAAGCTGCGTCTGTCACATCTCGATAAAAATCCGAGATTTCGTGAATCCGCCAAAATTAAACGAGGAAGACAATAAAAAAAATCTCAAAGGCATCAAATGTAAGGTACTCCGCGAAGCTGATTGGCTTGTTTTTCAGTTGGTTTGGTTCAACAGAGGTTTTCGAGGGGAATATTTTTCCGATGAAGTTGAATAGACGGCGACGTGGATGTCACGACTCGATCCGTCCACATTGTGGAGCAGCTGCCGGTTGCATGATCGACGCCGGCCTTGGTAAAGGGGGAAGAAAGACCGCGCGCGCGCGCGGATGCGCAGTTCCGGAAACTGACAGTGCACAACGCAGTGGCTGCAGGGCTTTCTCGCCCGGTGATGCATTTCAGATTTCGTGGCAGTGAGCCTTCACTCGGTGAATTTTGATGAGATTATGAAATATTAACCTATTAACCGATCCCTGTGTTTCCGAGGAGACGGAAAATAGATAATTGAGATTTTATTACCCAGATTACTATCGTAGACTGCAAAACGATGAAGAATTACACGCGAACAATGATAGAAAAAAACGTATAAGATACCATCGCTCCTCGATTCGCGATGACTTACAAGATAAAAATATTGTTACTCTATGTAGATATTAAAAGATAATTCTCGAAATTGCAGAGATATGACAAAAATTAGGACAATGCGATGGTTACAATGTCGCTAGACTGAATTATCAGTATCATTAGATAATATCATTCTGCCAGAGAGTAAATGATTTATCAGGCTGTCACGTGACGGATTAGATTTCTGAGATATTTCTTAATTTATATTTCGAGCGTGTTGATAGATGATGTGATTGGAAGAACCATATGGGTGAACCCCTGATGGATGGATAGTGACTTTAATGAATAGCCGTTGTATTGACGGAAACGACAAATGACGTTGAGTTATCGACATATCTGACAAGAAAGAAAAAAAAGTTGGGAAAACAAACTCGGCGCGATGGGAAGAATCCTCTTTATCTCCGGCTGGTCCAAGATGGAGCAATAAAAACTGACGATTCTGCCTACCTTTTCATCGGCACGAAGTCATCTCGTTCGGATCAGCTGCTGATGGAGCGATTTAACAAGTGCTTTCTCATTTATATACACGCCTTGAAAAATTCACCTCAAAGAGAACAAAGTTTGTTAAGAAAATGAATTTTACGAAAATAAATTTTTCTTAAAAAAAAAAAAAAGAAATAAAAATTCATGTATTACAACATACATTTATATATTTACTCATTATTGATCATATGAACGTATGTATTTAAAATATAAATAATGAAATACAAAGTTAAACAATGAAATTTTTCGTTTAAAAAGATTAATTGTAAATCATGAATAAAATTGCCAAATTACATAAAATTATTTCGTATGTCTTTTTCAACAAGTAGAACAATCGTGAAAATGTACATCTCTTCAAAGTACTAACAGTCAAAATTAGATATACCGAAGGTATAATAAACATATGCACTGTTGTTAGACTAGTGGGTTCAATATTATACGAGCAGCACATCAACAGCATCCTCAACAGACAACTACCTACTGTGCAGGTAAACGCGCGTGATGTTAGCGCAAACCAAAATGTAAGTTAACGATCAACGACGAGGGGATTTGGTTAATAGGTCGGCTTTGATCGCCGGTTATCTAAAGGCGGGTCAAGAACAAGAGCGTGATGCATAAATAGCAGGCGCATTCCAAAAAGAGGAGGGTGGCTGTGTGTGTGTGTGTGTGTGTGTGGAAGGGCCGATGTTTACAACCGCGTCGTGTGAACTCCATTTTCCTACAGGCTCGCGTGATCTGTGGCGCAGAAGTGTAATTATCAACGTTTACCGGCGGTGTAGATACATTCTCCGTTTAAATCGCGTTTACAATGAAATTTGTAATAAAAATACTCGGCAAATTTTTATTCAATTAATCAAAACAAAAATATTAATTTTTTAAATAAATTCTTCGACAGTCCGTTTACGTTCTTTCGCGTCAGTTTTCGGTGACAAAACCGCGCGAGACCGTCATTTTGTCCCAGTTGATGCGGGACAACAGTTTGTCGCGATCCATGTTTCGAATTTCATGTTCCGCTCTAAATCAAAGCGAGGGATATATTTTTGAAAAAGAATGTTCCTACACGACACTCTGACATTTCGGGAATGCAACACGCATGCGACGTCCCGACCCATTCGACCAATTCGATTCATCCCGGATACGAGTTTAAAAGCCAGCCGTGCCGCGAACGATCGCTGTCTTCGTTCCAAATTTTACGAGTGCGCGTGACACGCCAATTAGCGGCTATTAATTAATCGACTGTGCACGCGATGGCAGATCGTCCGACGCGCCGCCGCGCCGCGCCGATCCGGAGGAAATCCGAATTTATGGAAACACGGTCCGACGATAACGCACGCGGCCCGGCGAAGAGCGGGAGAGATTACACTCGCGAGCAACGGGCGAAAAAAAAAAGAGTTAAATACGCCATCGCGGTTTAATCGGCCCGTCCTGTCTCTTACTCGAAATCGTTGCGTCCGCTCCATCCACTATAATTCTCGTGATAACGAAAGTTTCCCGTTGAACTGCGCGTTGTAAATTCCGTGCACCGCATATCGCAAACAAATGGACTTTTCGTCGGCGAGCAAGTTTAATCGGAAACCAATGAGCTTACAAATTAAATATTAACCCGTCAGCTGCCGCAAACTAGAACGTTTCCATCTCATATGTATTTCAATCCATTTGCATCTGCGCGCGTGATCGTAAATATGTAAATGCGAACTGTTATACGACGTAAATAAATCTTTCACGACTCGATAGGTCTTGCACAATTGTTTTTTTTTTTTTAGATGCGTTATTTCAATCTTTCGAAAAACAATTCAATTTAATTATTAATCTTACAATTTTAATTTGTTTCTTTACATTAATATATTATTGTAATTTTTATATCAAGAACTAGAAGATCATGATCGATTCTATTCACTTATTGAAATTTATTTTGAGATCTTATAGTTACATATATAAGGAACGTTAGTAGAAATTTTGCGATTATTTCCGACCACAGATCGAGCACGGCCGCCTGAAACGAAAGCTCCCTAAACAGCCGATCGAGTTTGACTAATTAGGCGATCATAAAACATCGATATGTATATATATATATGTATATATATATATGTACACACACATACATATTTGCGTGCCCTAAAGAAAGAAACGTTATACATATATAAATATATACACATGTATAATAGAGGAAGAAAGGAACAATATTGTGTTCGTCCAACTAGCATCAATGCAACAACCATGGCGGAGCATTCGAAGGGGGGGAAATGGTGGTTTTGTGGTTCGTGCACAAGTGAATATTCAACGGGTTTCTTTCCATTCTGTGTGCTACACTGCCGATACGAGTACACCGAGAGGAGGAAAGGTGGCGACATTAATTATCAAGTAGTAGAAAGAAGAGACACAGTAAATACACGAGAGAGGGGAATACGGAAAGAGGGAAAAGAGGATAGATCACGCGACACGGGGACCGGGGGGGGGGGGATACGGTCGTTCGTCAGACACGCGGCCGCGCGGTCGTTCGATACTGGAATTTATGATACCGGTTTTTCGGTAAAGTCGTGAAATTCCGCGAAATACGCGGAAAACCGTGGCGGAATATATCACAGCGGCATTACGCGCGATATAATAAGAATAA